CATTTCCTGCATTAGTTCGTTCCATCTTGCTTAACTGAACACAGCCCTACCCCTGCGGTATGCTGTAAGAAAACTGTAAAACTGCAAACACTGGTTTTGTCTGCCATTGCAGTCGATCAAAGTCCTCGAAAGAAATGATAAGTGTGTTCAGAAGAACTGAGATATATTGTTTCTTGATTTATTTTTTTTGGAAGTGCAAAAACAATTAAAATGTCGGTTAAACGAGTGCATTTTGAAAAAGTAAAACTTGAAGAAACAGTTTTGAATGAAATGTACGAGAATTCATTTCTTCTAAATTGCTCAGATGAGATTTTACTTGCTATATTTAAACATTTGCGTCCTGAAGATCTTATGAATCTCTCATTGTAAGTTATTTTTGTTCTTGTATTTCACATTTTTTATCATAAGTTTTCTTTTTATACATAATTATTTTTAATCATAGAAGTTGCAAAAAATTAGAACGAATAGTAAAAGACCGTACTTTATGGAAAAAAATTACAATTTATCTAAAGACTGATATGAAATTTTCTCGCTTATTTTTACTATCCCGTACAAAAAATTTGACGATAAATGGTAATCGATGCTGCCACCACGTGCACGATGGAACAATAAACTATATTCATGAAATTTTACTATCATTCACCGACCTTGAGGAATTAACTTTAGAAGATTTTTATATCACTCCAGAAACGGTAAGTCAAGATTCTCTATTATTCAATAGAATTGATTCTTTTCTATCTTTTTTTTCTTTTCACTTTATTGTATATTAACGCTAGCGTCAAGTCGGAATCACGTGATTACGTGCGACGCTGAAACCATAGCTGAAAAGTCCCATGAATTCTCGCCACCTTTCCACGTAGCATAATTTGCGTAACATGTGTCATGCCCAATTTCTTCACTTCTAACGGCCGATTTCTTCATACCTCTCGATAGCTATCCTCTGGATAAATTCCTCTGAGAACCAATAAGGAGAATCAATTTTGGAAGATATCTTCTAGATAAAGTTATCGAAAACTTATCTAGAAGTGAAAAAATTGGCTGTAAATAAGTTTTGGATAACTTTAAACGATAAAGTATATCTTTTTGTATATCTTTATATAGAGGATAGATATGAAGATCGGGAGATATGAAGAAATTGGGCCTCAGTCAATCCAGAGAGAAGCCTGAGAGCGGCCACGGCCATAAGAGTTTCTGCGATAGTTTTTCGTGGACATGGTTCTATTCCGTGCTATGAGAACACCGACGTGGTGAGGATACGCACACAAGCGAGACCGTTGTCGTGTGCGCTCGTAGAAGAGCATATATGTAATACTCCTATATTGCTAGTACGGTGCCGACCTGAAGCTTACCGTTACGATGCAGACAATATAGTAGCCTCTCTCTCCAGCTGCTTTGTGCGCATGCGGTGAACATAATGACGCTCGACCATCTATGTCCATATTTGGACTTCGTGCGTCTCCCTTTCTCGGGCCTCGTGCCTCTCATTGCGAAGATACGCGACTAGCAATATAGGAGTATTACATATATGTGGAAGAGTGCAGACATATTTGGGTGCGTTCAGACAACTCAACAGTTGAGAGATCATCACTTATGATAGGACTATTCTTCAAAATCTGATGCGGTTCCAAAAGTATGACCCAATCAGAAGTGATTATCTCTCAACCGTTGTGCAACTGTTGAGTTGTCTGAACGCACCCATTATGTCGATGATGATGACGGTTCTCGCTTGTGTATGTATCCTCACCACGTCGGTGTTCTCATAGCACGGAATAAAACCATGTCCACGAAAAACTATCGCAGAAACTCTTAAGCTTGTTCTACATTGATCGCAAGCGCAAACGCAAGAAACAGTTCTGGTAGAATTGACTAATCGTATTGATCAAATCAGCCAATTGACCAGCGTGATTGGTCAATTCTACGAGATCTATATCTTGCGTTTGCGCTTGCGATCAATGTAGAACGGGCTTTATGCGTTATGCGTTATGCAAAAGCATAGACTTATATAATAGACGGAACGTGTAAGAGGAGCTGAAGTCTTTGTTAAAAGAGACAGAAATAGTCGTGGAGTAGTTCTCTTCTTTTCTAGCAGTGAGTTGATTGGTGGCCGCAGCAGGCCGAGAGCAACGAAGATAGAGTTCGAGAGTCAGTTGAGAGAAAGTGATAGTGAAAGGTGATAGCATAGACTTGTGAGAAGATTGGTTCCCCACCATCTTATTGTAAGAGAGAGAAACAACTACTCCAGCACTATTTCTGTCTTTTAATGTTGTCTTCAACTTCGTCATATAAATGTTCCGTCTATTATATAAGTCTATGGTGCGCATGCGGTGAACATTCAAAAGACCGGCCCAGTGGTCTCGCGGCCTGAGTGCAGGGGCTGCGAACCTGGAGAACCCGAGTTCGAATCCGCTCACCACCTAAGGATTTTTTCCGGGCCGGTCCCTTTCAACCGAGTTTATCGGTTGATTGGCGAACTGAATCGGGCCTCCAAAAATTAATTCGAGTGTAATCCCGAATTAATTTCCCTCCCACAAGACGATCGTAGTCATACCATCTTGAGCACGTGCCCGACATAGATGGGCACGCCCACTATGAAAAGACGGCCGTGTATCGCGTGGTAGTAGGTAAAAACTGCACATCCCCCCCCCCCCTACATTCGTTCTGAGAATATATACCAAAGACTGGCGTATGCTCCTACCTCACTGGGGCAAGAGCCATAACAGCAAAGAAGAAGAAGAAGAAGTGAACATTCAAGCACGCTTGGACATTTCTTTTTCTCGCGTTCTTTCTTCGCGTTCTCTCACTTTCCAATGCTTTGTCTCGCTCGCACTTGCTTAGTAGATGCGCCTGCGCATAATAACGCTCGACTATCTATGCCCATATTTGGACTTCCTGCGTCTCTCTTTCTCGGGCCTCGTGCCTCTCATTACGAAGATACGCGACTAGCAATATAGAAGTATTAAGAGCCGTCTACAATGGAGAGTTGTAGGCCGTAATAGTAAGAAATTGACCAATCACAGACAAAGTACAGAAGAATAATCGATTGTGATTTGTCAATTTCTTACTGTTACGGCCTACAACTCTCCATTGTAGACGACCCTTTAAGGTTCCACCTATCCCGCATGCAACGCTATCCCTACTTACTTTGTCCGCTTTTCTTCCCTTATGCGCAGTAAAATTTTCTTCTCAAATTTCTTTTCAAATTGAACGCAGTATATATATATATATGTATATGTTTTACTCTTTCTTTTTCTACTGCAAAGCATACATTTATTTATTTAATTGTTTTTTAGGTCTCATATATCACACTCCTATGTCAAAAAATTAATAAGCTTATATTAAACAGATGCATGAAATCTGAAAACACCCGTTTTGTACTTGAAAAAAAAGATATATATTTGAAGGTAAATTACCGGTCAAAGTTAACAGTAAGTAACTTATTCTTATAAGTACATAAATAAGTTAACATTAGCTGCGTTCCATTTTTTACTGTCAGTATTAAAGATTTGCGAAAACATGATCCCTTCGCATTTTTTTTAAACAAATAATTCTAATGTCGAGATATTGATGCTAATTTTTTAAATATATTTATTTACAGAAAGATTCTCATACAGAAAAAAATAATAATTACATTTTGTTGCAAATAATAATGCACTAATGGTTTTCTGTCATTCTACTTTTTTTTTTTAGACAAAAAGAATATTGATATTTAAAAGAATATTGATATTTAAATATTTTGTATACGCGTAAAAATTAGAAAATGTAACAAACTAGATATCAGTGCACAAATTATTGTTTGCAACAAAATGTAACTTTCGAAGATGTTATTCGGGTTTGAACCACGTTAGTGTTATTTTTATACCGACGTTTCGTAGCGAAAGCATCAAATATTAGAAAATGTAACTTGTATTTTTTTCTTTTTATGAGATTGTTTTTGTAAATAATTGAATAATTAAGAAAAATTATTAATGACATCTCGAAATTAGAATTAGTGTATTTGATAACAAAAGGCGAAGGCTATGCTTTGCGTTTAGTCATCGTAAAGGCTATTGATTAATATTTAGTAATGTATATTATATGCGTTGTTATATTAACGTTTCTCATTGCCACACGCGTAGCAATTTAATGAGAGTGAGTGGTTAATGTGAGTGCGCGAAACGCTAAATTGCTTTTGCACGTGTAAATGCATGCTTATTTGTAAATTTTTATTTAATTAATAATTATTGGAAATTTCACAAAGTAGTAAACGATTTTTTGACTCAGTATAACTTTTTATCTGTTTACGGTAGTACAGCTATTATATTAAAAATACATGACCTATAAATATTATTAATGAGATTTTGAAACACCGCAATTATATTATATTATATAAATTGTTTAACAACACTCTTAATTTCAGTGCTTAATTTTGAACAATATATTATGGCCTATTTCACTGGACTTTATACAATTTTTCGGCTTAATTGCTCCAAATTTAACAGAACTTAGAATAAATTCATGTGTTTGTATAGATGAGAATCTTTGTATGTATCATTATATGAAAATATATTCACGGTCGAATGTTTTAAAAAAATTAGAGGTATATTTTCATTTTTATAAATTATTACTTACTTTTTTACTTTTTTTCTTTTTTTATAATTTAGTTTTTTCTTTGATTGATATATTTTTATTACAGAAAGCACCTACTACAAAATAAATTTGTTTTTATAGATTTTAGATTTACGAAAAACGTCAGTAAACACCACAATATTTACGTGGTGTTGTAGAACATGTAAAAATTTAAAACAATTATATTTAGAATGTCCGAGATATTTACAACTATGTCTAAATGAGGTTCATATGTTTGGCTGGGAAATACAGCCTACCAAGCGTTACGACGTAGAGATAGATAGATGTTTGCGGGACTTGATTATCCGTACTGCCTCTCCATGTTGTCCACAAGTATTTATTTGCTTCCTCTATCATTTGTACAGCCTATTTCATGCGTGTCTTTATCTCGCTATAAACCAAAAGTCACTACAAATATTTATAAAACTTTATTATTAAACATTTCTTTTATATTTGTATTAGCTGAGTCTACGGTCATAATGCATATATAAACATTTATAAATAAACCAAGTTAAAAAATATTTTGTGTGAATTTTGGTCTAGCACAATTAAAGGCGTGTATGAGAGTAAGTGGTGTGTGTACATATGTACGATATATACTAATGTAATGATTTTTTGAGATTTACGGCAATGTGTAATAAAAATTAATTATTTTAATCTAGTGGCACAACTTGAAATTGATTGACAAAATCATTAGTCTTCATTCAAGGGATAATATAAAGGACTATTCTCTATTATATTTTGATGGTATAAATGACTGTAGAAATTTAGAAATATTAGCTATAAGGTGGATATTAATAGAAAAACAAAAATATTTAAATACGTAGAAAACTACATTATTTTAAATATTCGATTTTTTATCTTTTTTTTTCAGACATTATCAGTATATTAGTACTGAGTTTATCAATTGCATACCCTCTTTACCAAAACTAAAAACCTTGGATTTCAGTGGAGCTGTTTCTATATTAGAACGAGATATTAAACCTAAATTAAGAAAAGACGTTAAGATTGTCTCATTATTTGATACATAGAGTCTTGTGTTTTGCTGGGATTGTGTTAAGCCTGTTCAGGTCTGGTAGAATTGACTAATCGTATTGATCAAATCAGCCAATTGACCAGCGTGATTGGTCGATTCTACGAGATCTATTCCTTGCGTTTGCGCTTGCGATCAATGTAGAACGGGCTTTACTGCTAAATGTGGATAAAGATAAAAAAAAAAAAAAATAATAATGCTATTATAATGTAAAAAATAAAGAAATGTAGAAATAATAACAATACAGTAAATAAATATTTTTACTAATAATTATAACATTTTTACATACATATATGTCTGTGCATTTTTATTAATAATTTTGATTACAATATTCTGTATCTTTGTCGTGGATCCACTTCTGTTAGATTTTACTGCTGAAAACAGCGGCTCAAAACCGTTGTAAGAAATTACATTAAAATGGCTGCTCTTAGGTATTTCAGTAAAATTGATGCACGTGCGTATAGCATGGAATAGAACCACATGCTGTGGATATAGCACGGAAAAGAACCAGATGCGTGCGCCAAGGATTCACACCGACAAATCATGTCCATTTTCGTGGACATGATTATGTGGTTGCTAATGTGCACCGCTGTGGACATAGCGCTAGTGAACAGGATAGTGGTGGAAAAGCGATAGACAACAGCTAAGATGCGTTTGTTGCCGTTTTTTCTCTGGTTTTACGAAAAATGAATCCATCGATTTGGTGAGTTTAGAAGTCTCTACATCAACATTACAGATATTTTGTTAATTCGTTCACGAAATTCTGATTAAATTTCCGAATAAATTTTAAATTAGTTGTTTTGGAGGAGATACCTGCCAACGATTGGATTCTTTAATTTATGTGTCATTTGTGTGCGACCAAGATGTGTCATAAAGAATCTTTTCTTTCTTAGATACAAAATACACTTTGAAACGGAGGAAAAAATATGAAGGAACAGAAAATGCAATCACCTCAGGTGAAAAAATCGTTCATCAGACAAAACGCTACTCTTGTTATCTTTTTACCAGCATTTGTGGGAGTTCATATAGGTTGGTTTTTATATCAACAGCGTTATGTACCTGAGGAGGAAAGACACGATCATCCAATAACCAAATTGTACAAAAGATATATTGCGTAGAGAAATGTGATATCTAATTTATCCACGTGTGTTACTAGTGCAAGAATGTTATCTATGTTTGTTTTTTTACACAAATGGAATAATGTGCGTAGTTACGCTTAGATATTTTTGGACAATTTACGGTGTTTTTACACCGACTTCTTCAGTNTATCAGTGTTTTAACGAACATACAACTCCGTGGCTTGTACCCAAACCACGGTTTAGGACTTGTGTTACGATTCCTATAGACTTAGAATGGCGTATGGACTATCTTGAAACGGTCCTTTGAGCCATATATGCACCAAACCAAACACAAATGGAATAATACAAGTTTGTTCCTTTTATTCACAGTTTTCTTATTGCTTTCACATCATATCATCTATGATCTATGCGTCGTATACACAGAGAAATGAAAATCCTTTATTTTGTATATAAACTTTTTTATTTTATATATAATACATATATTTTTTTTTTGAGAGAGAGAAAGAGAGAGTTGTACATGTTCATGTCTATATGTAATAAATTTAAGAAAAGATCTTCAAATTTGTGTCAAAGAAACAATGTATGCCAATAAAAAAAATACAGAGTATTTAACCCCTGTATAAAAACAAATTTTATAACTTCTATAAAGTTAAAGATTTTATAAATTAAAGTGAACACTCTCAAAAAGCTTAAGAAAATATATGTACAAAAAATCACAGAAGAGATTAATTAAATTAGCCTCTTATGGTGGGTAGATGGTCAAAATTTTGCTGTATGGAGGAGCTCTTCGGCCGATTTTCACTGTGAACAGAAGGACCAGCCTTTGGTAATTGCGGTAACACCATTTGGCTGTAGTTGGTATTCTGAAAATATGACAACTTATAATTCACGTAGTGTGTTCGATCTTCCTTTTCTAAAGATTACGAAACAACGGTGATACATTCATTTTCTCGAGTCGATTTTGTCTCGCATTTTTTCTATCATATTTCGAACTTACTCGAGAACGCTCCCGATATTTTTTAAGTTTCTCGAACTCATCCGCTTCGGCGTCCGGTATTTTGAAATGAAAGTTGTCAAAATAAGAGTGTCGCAACAACTGCTCGCACGTCCACCTTTCATTTGGATCTTTGTCCAAGCATTTTTTCAGGAAATCCAGCTATTCAAGTTTTTGTGTCGAATTAAAAAAACTTGGACAATAATCTCGATATATGTTACAGTTTTTGTATTTGCTTGTTATTACTTGTAAAGGACTGCTATTTCCACGTGGCAGAGCATCTTCTAGAGGTGTGAGCGTTTGCGGTGCTGGAAGAGTGATGCCAGTAAAGAATTCGTTCTGTTGAAAAATAGCCATGTGTCTCGGCAGGAGGTCGCCCAGCGTCCTTCGTATCAAGTATAATTGATCAACGTCGGATTTTCCCGGCCACAACGCTTCACCTCGTATTAATTCCGCGAACACGCAACCGATTGCCCACACGTCGACCGGTGTACCGTATTGCGTGTCCCCGACCTGCTCAACCAAATGTGATTAATTTTCCTTACTTCGAAAAATTAAAATTATAATGAAAATATGACAACGACTAGCTAGTTCGAAAATTTGCATTTACCAATAATTCCGGCGCTCTGTACCACCTGGTCGCGACGTATTCCGTGTAGTTCTCACCGGGACTGAGCATACGCGCGAATCCGAAATCGCACAACTTTACCACACCGTCGGCGGTTATGAGTATGTTCTCCGGCTTTACGTCCCTGTGAACACACCCGAGACGATGGCAATAAGCGATACCTTGGAGAATCTGCCAAGTGATCTGCCTCGTTGTGAGATCCGGACAGCCGCTAGGATACTTCTCCATTTCGTTCAAAAGAGTGTTCTCGCAGTACTCGAACACGAGATGTAGTTTTCTCTTCCGTCTGAAGACTTCCAGAAGATTTACCAAGTTTGGATGCTTGAGATTCTGCGGGAAACAAAGAGGAACATTGTTTATGTTGTTTAGTTAAATTACGTAAATAGAAAAAAAAAATTTATATACACAGAATTATTTTAGAAACAATCCTTGTGTGTATATTTGATGCGTATTTTTATTTAATATTATATATTTTAGAGATTTAAAAAAAAAAGATATTCCCTCATCTCTTACACGAAGTGAAGAAGGAAAACGGCTGAAGAAACGGCTGTGAAAAATAACGCGAGCGAAGTTTGATACACACGTGTTATTTAGCTTCAAAAAAGACACCCTCGCGAAGAATCTGTCTTACCGAGAAAAACAACCTTGGAGCAAAATGTCAAAATGTAACGGTGAGAGCTCATTTGAATACGCATACGTTAGTGGCGTACCCGTTGATTGTAATGATAACGCGGTAGGTCGGTAAGACCAGAACACGCCAAGGTATTGACCGCCTCACGATATTGACCGTTGGCTATTTCTCGCAGCTCTCTCTCTCTCTCTGAGTTGTGTAAGCTTCTTACATCGTATAAATAAGAATATGTAAATTCCACACAGACAAGAAAGACTGTGAGTCCCTTCAATTTTATTTTTATTTGTGTGATCAAACTTCATCACATATCTTTGTTCAAAATTAATTCCAAGTTTACTCGCGTGTAAATACATAAAAGTTGATAAAATTTCGATTAATTAATATTTATATCTCTGTATGATTTAAGGAAAGTGTTTTTTTTTTTTTTACAATATTGTACAAGAAACACTAAGGAATAGGAGGTGGAATTGATACATCTGATATGATTAAAGTCCGCTTGTAACTTTAATCGTCATCTTGCGTAGGTAGAAACAACTCCGGTGGTCATTCACCCTTGCGAACACGTCATATTCGGTAAAGATAGTTGCGTGTGTTTCCGAGATTTATCGAGAAACTACACGTTAGCGATTGTTATAATCTTTTTTTTTTATGTTTGTGAAAAGAATCTTACACGTGATATTTACCGTAATGCTGCGAAATGTTTGGGTTTCTATTAATTTGTAAATTTAATAACAAATTTGTAACTTTTTTAGAATTGTTGTTGTTTCAATTCGAATTATTTTGTGTATATTTACACATTAAAAAATAAATTGCATTAATAGAGAAGATATATGTGTGAAAAACGTACACTGTTGCATTTTTATTTTGAGGGAAAATTATTGTATTTTCTAATTAAATAATTTAGTAAATTGTATAAAATCTCTAAAGAGCGAAAATCGTAACATTTTCTCTCTTTTCAACGTGTGATATTTTTTTTTTTTTAAATTACAAACTTTCAATTTAAAAGTCGCTTCAAAACGGCATCTACAGAACATGAAAAAAAAAAAAAACTGACCTTCAAAAGACGAATCTCCCGTAGCGCAATCTTGCGTATCAGAGGATCGTCTTCGGTTTGCTGAAACTTTTTTACAGCCACCAATTTTCCAGTTTGTCGGTCCCTACACTGGAAGACAACACCGTAGCTACCCTCGCCGAGACGTGCTAGACGTTCGTAACGTTCCATGGCTTTGCTCGGTGCCCGAGACCTGCAACACACGATGTTCCTCGTAATGTTACAATAAATTTTCAGAAAATTTATTGTAATGCGCGCAAAAGTGTTTTCTGATTATTTTGCCGCAAATATAACGCCAACTTTATACAACAGAACGGAGAGCAAAATTAAAAATCTCGCTCTGAAAAGTTTGCTCGGTTTTCGAATATTTACTTTTTGTATTTGGCAAGACATGGCAAAGATGTCAATTGTTGCGTAAAGAGCATGGTAACGCGACGAATGATATCGGCCGGACTATTTCGACGGATGACCAAGGGTCAAGCTACTCCGCAAGTTTCGCTCCGTTCAAACTCGCGGCTTAGCGCAGGCGCAGCGGAACACTCGTCAATTAGTGATTGCAGTATCGAATAATATAATAATGTAATAACAATATTGTGGTGATTCCTGTGATTTTTTTTTGTTTTTGGTTTTTAAGCAACATCAATACAACTTTCGATATTACACCGCTATCGCTAACTAAACAGTCGTTGCGAAAGCAATTGCAACAAAAGGTAAATATTGAATAATATATGTATGTGTGTGTGTGTGTGTGTGTGTGTGAGAAAAATTAAAATTGAAGAATTTTATAAGAAATGAGAAAGAATGTGCATTCGAGTTGTTATTTAATATTTAACACACTGCTGAACAAGATATCGATCTAGCACAAATAATTTCACGAACTCATACTGGCGTGACTAAAGAGAGTATAGGAACGTCATCGTGTTACAAGGGCCGTCATCAAATTAATAAAGAAATATTTGCACGTAACACTCAATAAATACACGCGCAGAACGAATCGCAGAACAAAGACGCGATTCTTAGCTGAAACTCCGGATAAAAAATAAGTTGAAGATGGAGTGAGTTTTTTTTTCGACGTTAATGTATTTTGAAAAAAATTGAATTTGAAAAATATTGCGAACATGTTCGTCCTTTGATCTCTACTACGTCAGAATATTATTTATTAAAAAGAAACAAACATGTGGAAATAAAACGTCTTTTACCACTGTGGTGTGCATCGTCGATAATTTACAAAACCCATGTCGTTCAATGTGCACATGTAGGATATGATCGCGGACGTTCGTAGCATGATTTCTGACGTTACGACAACTCGGGCCGGCAATCTCAACAATTGATTGTAACATTTAGACACGTAATTTGCGTGCGCGAATCAAAGTACGCGACTGGATTTCGTCAGGTTATGCGAATGTTAAAGACGGACGCGCAAAAATGTAAATTATTAAGCAGCCAAGTTCACGAGCTTTGCGTATGTATATGTATATATAATTAGTTAAAAAATGGATTTGAGTGTGATATAAAGAATTTTATTTTAACAAACGAAATGCGCGTTGCTTTCTGGTTGAAAACGTGAGACGTTTGAGAGAACAATATTAAAAGTCAAGTACGTACAAAAATCCGAGAATGGAGTGCATGGAGTACTCTTGCCAGGTCACCCTTGTTGGCGAACATACCGGACAGTACTAATCGCTGAAGAAACGCCGCACTGTTGCTTGATTATTGACAATCGATATTGTACGTACGTACGTACTTACGTACGTACGCGTGTCTATATATCCTGACCGTGAAAGAGGTCAAAATGTTTTTCCTGATTGTTATATAGACGGACGGTTATAGAGTACCTACGTGTTACGCAATGCGAAGCGCAAAACTGTGAGGATGCGTACTCTGATGTACTTTCAAAAAATGCTTCTTTATTTCTTTTCTTTTTTTGCGACAGTGAAGAATGTAAACGCGACCAAAGCAGGTTTGATAAACTTTAGAATGAAATTGGTGAGAGCTTGCGATCAAGAGCATGTTTATAGAAAAATGTTTCTCTAGTGCCACCAGACTTAAATGATGGACTTTTGAAGCATCAGATCCTCCCTTAATCGAAGAGCGTTGAAGACACATTTGAGAGAAAGGTGTTTTTTTTATTTTTTTTAAATTAATATAAGCGATATGTAATGCGGCTTTTGACGTTGTCGCCGGCGATTGATGATTTACCTCCTTGGTAGCAACGGTAGCGTGCTACCGAATAGCCAGAGCTTCCTATCTTGAAGCCATTTGTCCATTCGCAGGCTTCTCACAGGAATTTCACGCTACGAATGAAGTACTCGTGCTGCATCCTGATGAATATTGCCGTTAACGTCGCAACTTTGATTCGACGCGACGACATTGTTGACAGAACTTGTTTATTGACAAACCAGTGTTTCTCCGATGGCGGCACTACCATTCGCTCTCAACGGCCACGTTTTCATCTGTATACGAAACGCGTCCGTTCTTTTGCCTAAAACCACGTCGACTGACAGATCGATAATCCTTCGAGCAGCGTTCGGCGTACCCGCACCTGTTTTTCTTTGATTGATTCTTGACACGTGATTCGAGAAAAGCGATAAAATTGCCGATAAATTCAAATGTTCATTTAGAAAACAAATCGGTAATTTTTTTTGTGATTTATATTTCGAATTTATCTGAAAAAAATCAATAATTTGTGACTCCGTGTAAATATTCTGGTGAGGTTATCGCTTTTCTGAATATTAATATAAAAAATTATGTAAAATAAGATTCATAGTGTAAGATTTTTGTTTTTATTTGCACCTGTTCGAATTGTGTTTTAAGAAACATCATACACGTTTTCAGTAATTTCACTTTGTGTGTGTTTATTTTGGGATAATATATTTTACATACTATATAAAACACTATATATATCATACAAATTAATTTAAGATGCACACGATATTGGCAAAAAATTGGATTTTTGATAGATTTTAAGAAACGTTTTTTTTTAGTTCTGGCAGTTTCGTATATTTAGAATATTTTTTTTGTGCGAGAAGCAAAGTTATATTATGTATAGGAAGAATTCTGGAGATTCGAGAATAAAGGTGTATAAATTTAACTTTTTTTTTTTTACAATAGAACAATATTGTATAAAGTAGAAAACCGTTGTCCGAATTAATTATTTTAAGCAATACGCCGATTATTGTTTTTCTACACACTTTATACAGAATAAAAAACGAATAAAGTTGTTGCGTTGTTGTTATCTGAAGACATTCTTTCTACACACGAACATTTACAATCATTTGTTTAACATGTTATTTTGTGATAAAAAAGATTTATGTTGACATCACGAGAAATTATCGCGAGAGACATTTATACGCTCTGTGCGTTTCTTCTTACATTACAGGACGATTTGGACTTTTCGGCGTCTTGGGTTTCACCTCGCACGGTAAACGTAACGAAGTATCTTTTTGTGCGATCCAACTTTTCAGTCGGAAGAGCGATCACCTGCTTTTCCTCTCCGTGGGTCACCTCCACCTGAGAAAAAAATTTCAACATTTGTTTTTTCATCGAATGTTCTTATTAAAATTTGTTATTCGTAAAGTTTTGATCGATTTTTATTTGATATACCGTCATCTGTCCTTTGCCGCGACTCTCTATTTTCGGAAGATGATCCGTTCGATCTGGGCCGCCTCCACCTACTGCAATTATAATCTACATTCACGCTACAGAAACTGACCCCTTTCGGGGGCTCGACGTACATATAGATCGCAAAGTATGTTACAAATTAAGCAATTAGTGATTTCAGCTTCATATTTCCATCGAAACGAGATTACATATAGATTGTAGGTTTTAGTCTTTTTTTTCTCGCAGATATTACTTTTTTCGTTTATATTCAAAAATAACGTTTAACTTTTAATACAATATTAAATTATAATAATAAATGTAGTGCGTGACTGAAATTAACGTACGATAGGTGTACACCGGGATAGAGGTGTACGCGCTGGTGGCGTGATGACACCGATGAGTTTTTTGCGTGCATTGCTTGGCTTCGGTGCAAAAATCTGGCGTAGTCGGCCTTCCCTGCAGTTTTCTCAATTGTTCGTACAGGAACGCTTCGAATTGCCTAATGATAGTGACGTAACATTAATAAAATTAATAAAATTTAAAAAAAAAACTATAATAAAATTATTAATATACGTGTGATTTCTTTGTTAGAGTGAACGTCCTATAAAAAACAAAATATTTAATTCGATAATAACCTGAACGTTAACGGCCGATCGTATTTCGCAACGCCGAGAGTTGGTCCGGACATGCCCGATCTGTGAAAGGCTTCCACCTGCCAAAATTGATTTTTTCAATTATTCTAACGTCATGTCAATATCATCAATATTTTATTATTTGCTTTGTCCGATGTACCTGTCGTTTTACCAAAACATGTTCGTTCGCTCTTCCGTGACGAATCTGCAATCTCTTCAGCTCCATCAGCTGAAAGAAGATTTTTCTCTCGAGGTGATAGCGACGCAGGCTGATTTGAACATCTCGAGTGATGGTCTCCATGTTGAGGGCCTGTTGCTTCGCCGTGTTCGGACAACATCTGATATTCCGTCTCTTTGGGATTCGCGACACACGGGGACTCGGTTCTATTCCACTATCTCTGCCGCCGCTGTCGCGACGCTGTTTTCTCCATAATCGACGATTTTCTTCGGGATTGATCGTCACTAAGCGGTGGCCGGTTGTCGGTTGCACCTAACGTTAACAACATCCCCATTCCCCCAATTTGCATATTAAATTGGGCGGATTAGAACTGACTTAATTTTATCAATCGACAACGTAGTGCAATAAAATAGAAAGAGAGAGAAAAAGAAAAAAAGTTTTATTGTGTAAAAAAATGTTTTCTCAAACAACAACCTGAGGTAAAAAATCGGTTCTGGAAGTTCTAGATACGCCCAAGACTGTGCTAGGAGTTTCTTCCTCGCTCGTACTAGGCAAAACTCGCATAACGCCGATCTCATTGTCCTCTTCGTGCTCCGTGTCCTGCTCCACGTCCTCCCCGAGTGCTTCCCTGATTTCCTTCTCGACCGCTTCGTCCTCGTCCCATTCCGGGCTGTCTATCACCGCGACTATCGCTCTCTGATGCGGCAAATGTTCATCAGATCGTTCGAACAACAAATGTTTCATCGTCGACACTTTCGACGAGGATCTCCGTCTCGCATTTCTTCCCGTGGACGGTCTCGAGTGTCTTGTTTTCATCGATCTCGAGGGTTTCGGAGAACTCGAAGAACTGTAGTCTGATTTTTTGTGGGGCGAGTCCGTTCTTTCCGGACTAAAAGTTCCCTCCGCGTTCGCGACCGACTCGTCCAAATCTTTATCGTCAATTGGTCGTTCGGTAATCGATTTTGATGTTTCCGCTTTCTGTTTTTTTTCCTCTTGAGTCTTTCCGGAGAGTTCGATATCTCCGTTTTCTTTTGCCTCATCCGCTGATTCGGGACTTCGTTCAACGACCGTTTTCACGGACACCTGTTCTGTCTCGCTCTTCTCCTCAGAGGATACTCGCGCATCTTCGACATTACTTTCTGGAACATTTTTATGTACATCATCTTGTCTCAAAAACACCGTTTTCGACTGTTCGTCGTCCGACAAACTTTTTTTCCTCGCGTCAGTTTCTGCAATTTCTAATTCAGATTCTTGAGAAGCGAGCAGTTTCCCGTTCTCGGTCGTAAAATCCTTTTCTTCCGCAGATTTTCGATCAGAAGCACTCTCTTTATTATCGACCAGATCTTCAGACTTATCGTGTTTCTCATCTTCAGCTGCTTCGTGCGTTTCACGCGAAGGTATTTTATCGCTCGATGTTACGTTCTCCAATGTCTCTAACCTACCTAAAAAAAAGATTGCTGTAGCCAGTGTGTGGCAAATGCAGATTTACTTTATCAAATCCTTTTTCCGGTTTTGCAGTGACTTTGCAAACAATATTTATCGTTATATTTGATAGAAATATTAGTTTATTTTATTTAATAGTGAATTTTTATACTTTGTTATCTTCAGATTCTTACCTTGTAGTTTGTCATCTGTTGTCTCTGCTTTTCGCGCGTCTTCCGTGCCGGAGGATATCGTTGTCTCGGGTTTCTCATCCTCATCCCGAATTTCGTCACCGCTTTTCGAACTTTCTTGCGCTGTCTGCGGCGGTCTTTCTTCAACAACGTCTGCCACATCTGTTTTGCGCGACAATATTTCGTTTTCGTCAGAAGCATCTCTGGAAGTTCCGTCCTTCTCCTTCAAGTCGCCGTCCAATTTCGTCTCCCTCGCTGCTTCCAATGTTGACTTCGGAGTATCGGGTGCTTGATTTTTGTGAACCATCGCCGTAACGACCACTCGTTCCACAGTTTCCTGACTTGTACTATCTGTCACGTCTCTCTGATAGCGAGATCTCACTCTCTCTTCGTCATCTCTGGCTTCTTCGGCGAGCGTTTTCGAAGGTTCATCTTCCTCCTTGCTCGGCGACCTGTCCTCCCGATCCGCCGCGCTCGTATCGTCGTCGGGCGCCTTCGACTTGCCGGATTTGGATGTTTTCGTAGAACTGCGCGTGTGCAGTTTAGTTACCTTCGTCTCCTTCGTACACTCTCTGGGAGTCTTCGATCTTCTCCCGGATACCACCTTTTCGCATTTTTTCTCCAACGATTTTTTCACTACGATCACCTCCAAACTGTCGTCGCTGACGCTTCGCTCGTCGTCCTCCTCCTTTCGGGAATTGTCTCTGACTTCCGTTCTCCTGTTCTTGTCCCTCTCTTGCCGCGTCTTCGCGTGATGTCGACGCGCGGTTGCTTTACCTTCATCGCCGTCGTGAAAATAGTCGCAACTGTCCGATTCGGCCGATGAATCCGAATATTCGTGCTTGTATTTCGTGGATCTTCTTCGTTTCCTTCTCTGATTGTGGCCACCATTCTCGTCAAATCTAACAATTTTCATTAAAATGTTGATCAATTAGCGTGAGAATAAATTACATTAATTCCGCGTTAAATTTGTTTACCGTGCGGATTCGCTCCGAGCTCTCCTCTCGTTATTTCTCTTCGTCTTCGACAATCGTACTTCCTCCTCGCTAAAACTGCGACTGTCTTGACACGCTAATTTCCTCGCATTGCTCTTCCGCCGCGTCCTTCTTTCTATCCACCGCTCCTCGTAGTACAGCTCGGGGTGTCCTCGTCTGCAAGGGCTACTGTCGCTCGCGGTACTACTGTCGGTACGTTTCACTCGAAATTTTGCTGTGAATACTAAAAGTAAATCTTATTTTACTTTGCGAAAAGCAACAAACACAACATCGAGCACACGCCTAGAACCCGACCTTTGCTCGGTGTGGTTTTGTGCGCTTTCAGTTGCTGCGCCGTGGTACCGCCGTGCATCTGAATCAGCTTCGCGCAGTCCCTGTGTCCCTTGTAAAGAGCCGCGTCCAACGGGGTCATCGAGGTGCCCTTGCTAGTTCGAAGAACGGCATTGATCTTCGCGCCGTGATCCAAGAGGACCTTGCACGCGTCCAGGTAACCGTGCAGGGCCGCGACGTGGAGAGGCGTTTTGCCGTCGTGCGTGGCGACGTCCAACGTGCTCGGTCTTCGCTTCGCCAGCCATCTTATCAGTTCGATTCTACCGGACGCAACTGCCTCGTGTCCTATCCCCGTGCCCCGCACGGTTCGGGCGTGAAGCGAAGCGCCGTGCTGACTCAGAATCTTCAGCGTCTCCAACTGACCTTTAGCCGCGGCGCAGAGAGCTGGTCTGAAAAAACGTTGAGATCTTCTTCGACTAACTACGTGTATATGTTTCGCTAACAGAATTGAACACCGCCGATCGCGCGCGTGTATTAGACACTTGTTATTAACTGCCTGTAACACTTCGGTAATCTTACGTTCTACCCTTTCGATCCTGACGATTGGGGTCCGCACCGAGCTTGAGAATGAGAGCGGTGGCGTCGGCGTGACCCAAAGTCGCGGCGTAGTGCAACGCGGAGCAACCGTTGTCATCCACGTGATCGGGATGAGATCCGCAAAGATTGACCAACGCTTCCACGCATCGCGCGTGTCCCCTCGAAGCCGCGCAATGAAGCGCCGTCAATCCGTCTTTGTCCGAAGTGCCCGCGGCCGCCGAACCTCCGGCTCTAAATCGGGAGCGGATTTTAACGTCAGTGCGAAAAACGTTCGAACATATATGTAAATATGTCCCGGACGTGTTTATTAATTACTTTATAAATTATCGCGCGTGTATCACACCTACCTCGCCAGAGCCAACACGGCCTCCACGCTACCCGCGCTCGCCGCCCACAAGATCGGTTGTCGTCCGTCCTCGTCTTTCGCGTTTACGTCCGCGCCGTATTCGAGAAGCGTTTGCAAAATTGTCAGACCGACTTTTTTCGGAACGGCGAGTTCAGCCGTGGCGGCCGCCCCGCAACATTGAGCGGCATAATGAAGCGGAGATCCGCCGCGTAAATCGGGGGTGGAGGGTCGCGCGCCAGCCGCCAGAACCAATCGAACGCATTCCGTTTCGCCGCAGACTGAAAATGAATTTTTTTCGTCGACTTTATCTTTTTTTTTTTTTTTTTAGATTATACTTTAAAAGCTTTGCGGCAAAAGAAATTTAGTCGATATAGTTTTTCAGTAAAAAGTTACCCAGCGTAAAAACTTGAAACAGATTCGCTTCGCGAGTCATTTCGATACGCCAAGTAATTAGCGCGTTCTTTCGTAACTTTCGTGTCTTTCGCGCGTGTGTTTGCAACAAACGCGATTTAGAAACGGTGTTCGTTCTTCTGCGGGAAGGTCAAATCGCGCGCGCGCGTATACCAGCCTAGAAGAGTTATAAGACTTCTTTATAGAGGTTGAAGTGACGAGCGAAATGCAGGGCGCGTATCGGCTTTCCGATCTTCGGAGATATACGAAGGGTAGTGGTGGTCAAGTAAGGTTAGTAGGTCAGTCTAAAAGTGACGTCATTCCGGTCTGCCGGGCAATCACGCGAGAGAGCACGCGATTATTACAGCGACTGATCACAAAAGTCCTTGAGCCCCCGCTGTGCTCGTACAATCAAAAGTTTATAACTACGTGCGCACATATGTATGTGCCGCACGTATATATGAAATAAACAGTGCAATGACTCTGATGCGTGTTTCACTACCACTGATGTGCAATACCAGAAGAACTTTATACCAGAAGAAGCGATTCTGAAACTCTCTTGCTTGAAAAAAGAAAATAGTAGATCGAAAATATAAATTGAAGAAAAAAATACCGGTGGCCCAGTGAAGAACGCTGTGTCCTTCGAGATCCTTAGCGTTAACGTCGGCACCGTTCGCCAACAACACCGCGACCAGTTGGGTATCTCCGGCGATGACAGCCAGATGAAGCGGCGTGTGTCCCTCGGCATCGGGAGCGTTTACCAGTTCCGGTGCCGCGGCGGCAACGGCACCGCCGGTTCCCGCGTCCATGCAATAATGGAGAGCGTTTCTCAACGTGCGATCTCTATAGGTGATCGTTTGCTCCTGTTCCTTCAGCAATCTCAACACTCTCGCTCTGTCGCCCTGCTGGCAGGCGTGCATCAAGGGCGTAGCGCCGATGTGCAGCACTCTGAAATGTAACGAAACCGAAATCTCGACGATCTCTTCCTTCCACCTCCCCTCAATCATATATTCAGATATGAAATAAATTGAGCAGTTTCACGAGAGTGAGTCGAAATTTCTCGAGAAAATAAAGGGAAAAAATTTATTTCTTTTTTATACACTCAATTTTCTCCCGGCTGTGAGTGTGTGTAGGCAGATGTATATAGGCACTCCCCTCTCTGTTTGGATATCGCGTAAATCTTCATCGAACAGATTGACTTGTAGACAAAAATAGAGACGCAAATTTAAGTAATTTGGAACGAAATCAATATTATCGAGCGCTGTATGAGCAAGGTGAGCATCGATTTTATTTATTTAGTTTTCAATGTTTCATCTTCCGTCTCGAACTTTTTACACGAACTTTTCGTGTATTACGTGCGCAGTACCAAAGTACGCGTAGAAATAACTCTGATTCCCTCCATGTTTTTTTTTCTATTTTTTGCTTGTCAAAATTGATGCGTCTCCTCACGAACGAGACTTTCGTACCTGTAGGGCCTCTTCTTGCGGTGATCCTGATGCTGTAGAGCGCAAGGTGGCTCCTGCGACCACGACGTGCCGTGCGATTTGGTTTTGGAACGATGAGTCGGATGATGCGGTGTCAGCGGGGGCAAGGACACGTCGACCACACGCTCCGCTTTCTTCAGCTGCGGCTTCTCCGACGGCTTCAGCGGGATCGGCGGAGTCTTAGTGTCCATGCCCGTCTCCGGCACCTACTCCGGTCGACTACTCCGACCCGTCGCGTGGAAGCATCTTCCGGCCTCTCGACGGATCGAACTCATCGCGCCGGGAAGAGGACACGCCGGGGGTTCTTCCGCTCGTAAGTCGCGTAGAGCGGAGCTTCTCAAAAAGAAATTCTAATCTAAACGTTTCGATTTTGCGATCGGTCGCGATTCGATTCCTGACTATCTGTATCGTACGTACAAATACTGACAACGCACGCGGTCGTGTTACACGCACGAGAGATATCGAAACTAAACGAGCAACATACTCCGACACTATTTCAAGCATTCAGCGAAACACCAAATGCAAAAATAAATGGAGCTGTCGTAAAACTTAAAGTATCGATTTATATGTCTGCACGTGAGAGACGGTGCCGTGAAATCTCACAACCCCGGGGATTCGCCCGGTCTCTCTGTGTGTATCTTGATGCCATTATCCGTTGAAAAGGAACGACCCAAATTTTCAGATCTAAATCAAATCAAGGTGCTGACCACGTGGTGGAACTGACCAGGTCACTCGGTGCCATAGAAACCAGCGGTCACAACATGCGGCCTACCTATAAAGAACCATAATGGCTGATACCACGGCAAGGTCGCCCACGTGTCGAATTCTAATCTTCGCCTTTAGATTGCTCGGCCCGTCAGATAACTAATTAACTTACATAGTCGCACACAAGGCTGTGCGATCCCCGTATCTGTGCATAGCGTGGATATTCTCTTCGCCTTGATGCAAAAATAAAACAAAAAAGAACTTTTTTTTCTAACATCTAGTTCCGTGTGAAACAATAAAGAAAAAGTGTGGAAAAGGAAAAACTATTCGTTACGTGAGTTTTCAAAGAAGAAAACTCTTTTCTTTGACACTGAAACAAGTGTCCAGTAATTAGACGCTTTTTGAGATAAAAGTTAAGTCAATAAATTTCTTTAAAATCGTATAAACAGTTTCTATAAAAAAAAAAAAAAAAAACGGTAAAGCGCTAAAAAATTTTCAAAATTAAATAACTTCGCGAACTGAAAAATGGGTGTTGAAGTTTTTAATATTTCTCTCTTTTAAATTAACTAAAATATTTTTTCTCTCATTGTAATATATTTTATGCTTTTTATATTTTTAGTCGATGATCATGTGAATATTACAAACTTCCATTGACAGTTTTTTAAAGGCGGAAAAGTTTCTTCCAGATCCGGTCGAAGAGTGTGCGAAACGTTACATCTCTCTCGTAAGTTTACACTTGCAACGAGCTCACATCGTAACGTGTATGTGTGACGATGACTGAAAATCGTTATTTCGTTGATTCACGATGCCGCACATCGATCGTTATTGCCACGTTAATAATTCGTCAAGACCTTCGTTGTTGTACTCGTTAATATTTAAGAATATCATCTCCGCTTTCGCGTTACGTGCAACATGTTTCTGTTACGTGTTTATTGTTCCGGGAAATCCGAATTGTTATTAGATCGAAACACGTGTCTCATCAATAACAAATTATACTAGAATCGGCTTCTTATTTTGCAGTTTTTTACATTAACAAATAATACATGGTACTTAGAATTAATAATTAACACACACACACACACACGTTTAAGAAGTGTATCTAATATAATTTTTTTATAAATTCCTGCTTTGTTATTTAGTGTTTTTATTTTCTCAATACATGTAAATCATAACGCCAAAGTTATTTTACTATTCCAATGAGAAGCTCTCGCGTCACGTGGAAAGAATTTAAAAGATCGATTTCTCTAAATTTTAAGATATTACACGCACGAAAGTCTAGACGGTACAAAATGTGACTTTGATCAAAACTAGAAACGTGTTCTATTGATTGTTTCTATCTTTATTTTTAATTTTTATTTTCTTTTCTTAGTAAAACTATTTTGTCTCTATATCTTGCTATAAAATTTTTATAAAATTTTATATTTATTACAGACGCGCGCACTTTGGTAATTTTTAAATATTTTTTTATGATAACATTGTTTGACAGTAAAAAGTACAAATCGCTTAAAACCTGATATATACGTCTATCAAACAAAATATACAAAAATTAAATCAATCGTTGTCCGATGTAATTCAATTTAATGCATATACTTATTATAACTTTACTCACCTCGTGATATATAATTCTGCTATCGAATCGGATTGTTCATTATTTCGAATGGCGCGCGAAATTTCGAAAGTCAAAGCTTAATCGTCAAATGTTACCTCGACCACGAGGTCCACTTGTTATGGCGACAGTGAAACGTACCTTTAGAGGGTGGAAAGAGTACTGAACGCTCTGCATTACACCACGAGTACAAGCAAGTTAATGTAAGAGTTGCTTAGATACCACCGCGTTTCTCTCAGTAACGTATCTATCACAAAACAAATCTATTATTATTATTATTATAAAAAAAAGTGACGCGCTAACACAAGTACTGTTTATTAAAACTTTAAACAACACTCACAAGAGTTCAGACATTTTACTTAAAATAAAAAATAAAAATGCCCGAACATGTAAAAAATTAAAAAATCTCATTTAACTTTACTTTCTAAGCAGATGAGATGTAAAATCAATTATAATAATTTTGTTTAGTAAAAAAATTTGTTTTTGAACTGTGTAAATTTTTGTTTTTAATCTCATTTAGCACGATGTTGTAAAAGTGTCTGTACTACTGAAGACTGTATGTTTGAGAGTACGTATCAATTGGGGGTATAGCTCAGTGGTAGAGCATTCGACTGCAGATCGAGAGGTCCCCGGTTCAAACCCGGGTGCCCCCTCAAGTTTATTTTTTTTTATATTTTATACACGTATATCCTTCACATACGTAACTTTTTGAACAATAAATACACATTCATACGTTTTAAAAATTATTTTACGGTTTTTTTTATTAGTAAATAAATCGAATTGATTTTTACACACATTTAATTGAAGATATATAATATACAATGCATTTTTTTCACTTTAATTCTTTTATTTATTTCTGCTTTATATATTTTATATATTTAACACGTTAAGCGCGATGTCAGTTCCTGAGGACTGACAGTGAACTTTTTGTTTGAGCAGTATTGGTCCGTGGAACCAACAGTATGAAGGTTCAAATAAATAAAAATGTTGTAATTTTAATGAAGTTTATTAAACCAAAAAAACTATTCTCGTCGAGTGATCGCCGCCTGAACGGAAAGCACTGCAAAATCGGCTGCGCGCTTAACGTGTTAATAGACACATTAGATCGTATATATTTTATATATATGTAACATAGTTGTGTGATGTAAGTTAAAAATTGTATCAATTTTTTTGTAAGTCGTCCACAATTGTGTGAAGATTTTTTTTTTATATACTTACAAAAAGTTTATATATCCAACAAAAAGTTAAAGGAAAGTTATATGTAACGTTATATAAAGAAATATATATATATATATATACTATATAAAAACAATGTAAACATGAAGAATTAGTCAATTTTATATATGTGCGTATTTCCTTTTAAATACTTGAGAACATTAAACGCAAGATAATAAGAAAACTACAATATATAAAAAAAGAAAGTTTTTAACTAGAATTATAACATGTAATATCTTTTCAAATCAAAGGTCACATACTATAAGAATACAGTGCCTTTCAATGTCATAGTCTAATATTGCTTTAAAAATTATTGGGCTCGAAAAATTATTTGTAAAATGTATTGATAGCATTAATATGTGTACTGGTGGTACCAATACTTCAGTCTTGTAGAGATATCGATTCTATCTTTCCATTACATCCTTATTTTTATCAACAGTTCTTAACTTTATATATAACTTAATAATATTTGGAAGACAGTACATATAGCCATTTACACTTACTACCTGTTCTATATATATATAAAAATAAGTTTTGTATACAATTAAATGAATATTCTAATTTATGAATATTCTAATAAGGCAATTTGTGGAATTTGTAATATATGATATATGTGTATATATAATTTTTATAAATTTTTTATATATCATATATAAATTTAGTTTCTCAGTAAATATCTTGCGTATATATGCTCATGAAAATTGAGCATTATTTTGAAAATTATTGCATCATATATAAGAGAAATTGTAAGGCAAAAGACATTTCAAAGTTATTTCTCTGTATACCGGTTTTTAAGAAAATCGATAATATTCTACAATGTGATTCAGCATGTCCTGAAACGCTGTGGACGGAGATGTGCCAAATTTTTGTCTCCATAAATGCCTAGCAATAATATGTTGACCTGAAGCATGTGTAGCTTCCTGAACCTCCTCGCAGACTTCAACAGCATTTTGCCAAATTGTTTCTAAAAATAGAAAGGCAAAACATAATTGCGCAAAATCTTTTACAAATAGTCTACATGCAAAAAGACAAAGATACACAACTATACATGTATTATTATATCGAGAAATAAATAAATTACCAAGGTTATAAAGAAGTTTACTTTCACCAGGCGGATCAAATTTCTGTAATTGATCAACACTGATAACTTTATATTGCTTTAGACTTTGTAAAGATTTGTAACTGCAGCAAGAAGCACGATCATTTGCTACTATACAACTTCCTGATAGTGCCTTAGAGGAAATTTGCTGCAGAGCTTCTTCTATCATGTTATGTTTACTGACTCCTAATTGCAATTTGTCAGCTTTTTGTGGCTATATAAAAATAATAATATAAAAGAATGTAATATAAAAGTATATAATTCAGATAATACAGCCAAAAGATTAAATTAGATTAGATTTGTATGTTAGAATAAGTAAAAGAGTGATTACTAATTATTTTATTGAAATATTACTTCTGGCACAGCTTCAATCAAGTGTAACCATATACGAGGTGGTATGGCATTTGCTTCTGCAATACATATTATAGTGTGAGAGTTGTTATTGCGCTTTTTGGTAGAGTTTACATCCAGATGATACTCTGTCATATGACCACCAGGAAATTCGTCCACAATTAGTATTGCACCTTCACCGCCTAATACCCAATCCTCTGGATGATTTTTTACATAGATTGCGGAAACTTCGTCACACCGTTCGTATGTCTTTCTAACAACATGTTTCTTTATATCTATAATAATATATAGATATATTTAATTTCAAATAATACTATATATAATCTGTCATATAAAAATATTTATATAAATAAAAACCTAAATAAGAAGCAGCAACTTCATAGGGAATCTTTTGACACCATCCTAATATCAGTTGAAGGCACATTTTCAGATCACATTTTATTCCAAAAAAAATAGAATTTTCTCTTATAGATTGCTTTCTCGCACACTCGGGACAAGACCAAATGTACTTGTCTACGATTCTTGCAGGGCTCCATATCAAACTGCGCCCCGTACAATTTACATGAGGACAATTAGAGGCCGTGCGAATTAAGCTCATTTCTTTCAACCAAGAGCATAATTCTCCTTCGTGTCCTTGTTGCAACATTGGCCGTACAACAACATCAAACAACCCACCTTGATCGCTAAAACGTCCCGAACATGTTCTGCAAGAATTCATATTAATAAAACATAACGATCCTTTGAATTTGATGATTAAGTGAAGGAAGTTGCAAACAGCATGCAAAACAGTGTTTTATTTATCTCGATAACTTATTTATTGAGATTTATCATACTATTATTTTTACGAAAAATCTCAAAATTAACACATACAAGTAGTTAACTGTGTACATAAATCCCCTTATGTTCGCCAATCAAACAATTTTAGTTTTCAATTACCTTGAATTTTTAACTTTTGTGTTTTTCATTACAGATAATAGGCAGAGTAAAACTTAACTATATAAACTTGTGTTTTAACAAATACGCCTAATAACGGGGAATAAAAATTTGTGTCCACACTTAAACAAAAAAATTGAACAAAAAGCTATAATTATAAGAACCTAACGTTAACAGAAAACGATCAAATGTCTATGTAGGAATCCATTGTTATCTGTATGAGAGAACCAGTATAGAACAGGAGCAACAACCTGTGATGACAACTCCCTCTCGAGAAGCTTCTAAAGCTCATCTAAACCGCAAAGCGCATGCGCCATCGGGTAATAAGCGCCTCTTATAAAAAAACAAACTTTACAGTAAGCTCTAAAATGTGAATTTTTTATCCTTGCTTTTGTTGTAACTTTAGTTTGACGAATATTTCTCTTGCTAATAATATTATTACCTTAATTTTCTTTTATTCTACTAATAACATTATCTTTTATTCGAGAAACAAATTAAAACATTGTGCCGACTTACCTTTTAATCTTGTTCAGGTTTCTATTACAACTGTTTATGTTTTCTTTCATTTTTTAGTTTACTCAAAACCCTTGAGACTTAACAACAATCACTTAAAGAATGTATATCCAAAATGTATTAAAATAACTTGTTGTATTTTTTTTCCTTTCTCTTCTTTTATTAAGAACACGTTTTACAAAGCAAACTTTTGTGATGGTGGAAGTTGTGGGGACTGGACTACGGAATTAGTGTTGTTAGGTACACTCGAACAAGGTTTTGAAAAGATGAGTGCGGATAAGGATATCGGCACATTAATATAAAAAGTATTCTCTGAGTGATAGCGTGAATATTAGGCCGACTCATTCATTCGTTCGGGTCATTCATTACTCATTCATTCGTTCATTCAATTTATTTATTCGATCGATCAGTCAGTCAAGTCAGTTGGCCGGTCGGTCAATCTGTCAAGCAGATAAGCGAGCAGACAAATTTTCTACACATACACGCAAATATACTGCACTTTCAAATATACACGCTTGAAAGCTAAACACGCACGTTTTATCTACATGTAATATGTAGGTGGAAAACAGTGCACAAGATCATTGTGACGTCGTACGAAGTATTTTATACAGTATAACAGATTATTGCTCAACGCAATAAACATAAGGACACGCTATCTTCCTGTTAATGAAACAACATGTGCACGTAAAAAATCAAAATTTTTTTTCTAATTAAAATACCGATCTCTCTCGATTATCAATCACTTAATATTAACGTCAATTTAAAAAATAGTGATTTACATCGGTTTTATTTAACTATCATTTATAAAAATGTGATTTATATTTGTACGAATATATCTGATTAAATTTTATATTCTTATATGACTTTTTTGTTTCTTTTTTCTTTTAGAAGAGTACACGCCACATAAACGTCATTCTAACTTATGAAATTTGTTAATCCAGAATGATATATATTTACATTTTTCTTTTTTTTTTTTTTTTTTTTAAATTTGCACAAACACCATCGTAACGTAAATAAATGTCAACAAGAAGATAGCACAACGGAAGAGCTCGTCAAGGAAATATAGCATGTAATAACATTCTGAGGGAAATCCGTTACGTAAAGGCTGCATTTTTGCATAAAAATATATAACGTGGTATAAAAGAAGCGGCATCTCAATTACAAATATTTTGATTAAAAACTAAAAATATCCGGATAATTAAAAAACTTTAACATACATGTATATAATTCGTATGATAATCGAATATAATTCGAATCGCAGACAGTGCGTTTTTACATTTAGGTAATTCGTCAAATCGATTATCCGGATATCGGAACATCGGCAAATCAGAATCTCGTCATTACAATCGTAATTCAACTTTTAATAATTCATCATGACAAATCAAGATCAATTCACAAACAAAACTACCTTTTACGCAAACAGAGTCCACAATCAACATCACTAACAATCCGTAAATACAATAATTGAATTCTACAAAATGTTCGCAAACGAGATCGATATCGAAGGAAAACAAGTCAACCCTCTTCTATATTTCAAATATTTATATTGCGTGCACATAAAGGAAGGCGCAATCCCAAAAATTTCAAAACGAAAAGTTCAATCACACCACACCCTACTCAGCCGAGAGATAAAAATATAAACATATTACAATATGATGACTACAGTATAACGGTGATAACTGGCAGATAAACAGACAGTTTGGCAGGCATGAACATAAAACCAAACATATACACGTGACACATAACTGGACTTCATTTATATGTTTTATCCTCTCTGTCTCTTTTTTCTCTTCCATTCACTCACTCTTGTTTTCTCGTTTTCTTTCTGTTCTCTGCTCTTCTTGCCCCCATCACTTTTATTTATCCCTATTTTCTATATCCACGAAGTCCTATATAATAATGTAATATAGGCTTTAGTATTCTAAGATGTATGCTAAACACTAGGACTACTATACCGCGCCGTCTAAATACGACGTAGTATCCTTAATTTATATTAGGAATATCGGCAGTGAAATTCCAATGACAGACGCGACAGGCAGGCAATCAGTCCGGCAATGTCTGTGGCACTTGCGCTGTTCCGGTGCGTAAAACAGATTAAAACTGATTGTCGGGGTGCCCCCGCGCATTTAATTTTTAACATTCAATGTTGACAATACGACTTCATGCAATGTCTACAAAGATAATGAATCAAAATTAGGAAGGAGGGGCACCCCACTGCTCGTACCGAGCGATCTTGTTTCATCATTATTTTCACCATGGCACCTTCGTCATCATGTTCCACCATTACTCGACATCATTGTCCTACTTCTACTTCTTTTTCTTCCTTTGAAAAATAATTTTTTTACAATACTCGGTGATGTGTCCACTGGCGAATACGAATCGCCATTAATACCTTCGCTTGCTCGATTTGATCAGAAGCAAACCGATGTTGTTAAATTGTCCGAAACGAAGATTACTAAGATTATAAATCACAAATGAAATCACAGACTTTCGTTGGTGGTTCGAATAGAGAGGAGCCGCACATTGCAATTAGAACAACGTTGTAGGCGTTATATCAGAAAAAATCCGATGAGAGGCACGGGGAATTGATCTATTCCCCGCTGCTCTTCATTCCCATCCATTTTCCTTAATCATATGGGCAAGTTCGATTATGAACTTTCCCTCTTTGTATTTCTGACTCGACTCGAACGCATGTTCCTAAAAATATCATCAGATTATTAGCATCACAAAGCTTTTTTTCATCTACGGAGAATTTCATTCAAGGGGATAACTAACATATTTCCAGCCTAAGGTAGTTTTGCAACATTCGCAATAAATATCAGCGACGGCGTGCAGTCCAGTTAAGAGAACTCGCTCTTCCGCGGGACCGCAACCTACATTCACCCTAAACAATACACACAATTATCATTTCGAGGATGATTAACGTTTGAAAAGATGCGCTGTTTTATTTTATTCCCATCTTCTAGTTGTACTTACACTGAGTTGAAGAGATAGGCACGACCTTGACTGCCCTGGAAGGACTAGAATGCAAAAAACGGATAGATACTTTTAATATTATTACACTACCTTCACGCAACGACGAAGCAAGTGTGACATGTGATCGAAAGAAGAATGAAACCGCTGTTACCCGGATCGGATTGCAACGTCACTCACCTTGGAGATAAGTTCGTCGTGATTGGCGAGATGAGCACGGCAGTGAATGCACGAGTAAGTGCGGTGACAGGAAGGTAGGTAAGCTTGAAAAGTTTTCACCATGATGACGCGTCCAAACGAGGGAGAGACACACTTCGCCCTTGCTTGCCTATTTTCTCCTACTCTCTTTTGTCAACCCGCGCAGCAGTTCTCTTTCTCAGTCGGAAGAGGGAAGTCGTGTCTTTTCTTCTCTTTTCACCTGGCGGACACGAGACTGAATTTTTCCTCCGAAACGCGGGGTGGTGGTGCGATAGTAGCCCCGTTCACCGCCGCTTCGTGCTCCGATCAGCTGTTGAGCTGGTTCAGACAGCGCCGGTTCGGGGACACCTGTAACAAAGCGAATATATCAATGTGTGAAACACGCGATTTTCATTTTTATTTTCCCGGTCGATTCTCGCTTCGCAGCATTGAATCCACTTCATCGAAACGTCTGCGAAAAGTCGGTAAAAAGCGACTTTTTTGCAAATTTAAATTATCGGATTTTAATAAGCTATCTGTGAATAAATGGAGAAATTCGCGTAATTACAAATAATTCGTTTTTTTTTCGAATATCAATCTAATTTACGCGAAGAAACCGTGTTGACTTTATATCGCGCGACAGTGTGGAAGCACTGATTCTACCAAAAGTGCTGCTAAAACAAAATGATGCAATTTTCATGATACAAGCGTTCTATACAGCGACGAGCTATCGATCCTACACATCTGTAGGAGACGTACGCGATGAATACTATTTGGTGAAACAGCAAACGTTATTTATTTATACAGTTTACAGTTTTTTCATCGATGTACAATAAATTAAATGCGCACGACGAATTAAAACAAAAAAAAAACAATACAAACGCAACTACGTTTCCCGTAACTCTGTTTTTCTTAATTTTGTAGTCATCACTACGTATTAGCGTTATTTCCTAGTTCTTCCTCTCTCTCTCTCTCTCTCTCTCTCTCTCTCTCTCTCTCTCTCCTCTCTGGTCTTTTTTTTCTATTGAAAAAAAAAAAACAAACCCGACTAACAATAGATAAATGCACACTGACAGCTGTGGTGTGTGCGCGTTTAAATACCGTAGTAGCTTTCAAAAGGCAATTGCATCGACATACCTCATATCGACTGACTCCGTACCGCCACGTGCACTGGCGCGCGTTCAAACAAAGAGACAAGGCCGTTGTTATATGAATCGTTAAAAAGATGAGGCCTTTTTCCGTACGTAGACACCGACGCGACGAGTTCAGTTTGTCCTTCCCTCGGAACGGATGTTCCAGACGCTTTATAAATGCTAATCGCGCGAAATCTCCGCGCTAATCGGAACTAATGAATCTCCCACGGCGAGACACGATACCCCGTCTTGATAGCCCGAGGTTTCTTCTTTGTACGCGAATAACGAAGTTTCGTTCTCCAAGATCGAACGCGTTGAATTTTTAATTCGGTCGTTCGCGAACCGATCGTTCGAATCGATCGCTTCGCGAATGCAGTAAAGCGACCGTGTTTTTAGTTTTTATTTTTCTTTTTTTTTTAACGAACATACAAACGTGATCCGAACGAGTTCCACTATAGAAAATTTGAGAATTCGAGTTTTGTGAGCGCGTATTCGAATTAAGAATTCGAGTTTATTCTCGTACATACACCGGATGAGCGCAAAGAGAATAGAATGAGAGAGAGAGAGAGAGAGAGAGAGAAAGAGAGAGAGAGAGAAAGAGCGCGCGCGCGGAAACAAGTTTCTAACGGATAACCGGAGAGAGAGAACAAAGAGAGATGGGACTCTCGAGTCAATACACCAGTCAAGGTCATTGCTACTTGCGAACGTGTGTGTCGTTCTTCTTATTATACTCGCGTGCGAATGACGACGCGCCGGTGACGACCGGTTCAACAACTTGCTGCTAAAAGAGAGAGGAGACTTTGCCGCATCACATAATTAACCAGAAAAAGAGAGTTCGTTCTCGAGAGTAGTATCTCATCGTGTATGTCATCGACTAAGATGGAATCGATACACGTGTACGACGTAACAAATCGATCACACGTTCTGTCGATTCGTATATAATTGTTTTCTTTGTTCTAGGAAAATTTGTCCCGCGTGCACGCGAGTAAAAATATTTAAACTTTGCAAGTAAATCGAGAGATTGACGGGGTTGACGACCGGGTTGAGGGCCGCTGTAAGGGGCAAAGGCCCCCCTCTGGTTATTTATACGCTGCCTTCTATGCAAGTGAATTTACGCGAGTCGTAACCCTTCACCCTGTTATAGTATATATATATATGTATATATATATGTATATGTATATATATAAATATATATGTACACAAACGAGGATCGAATGGGCGGGAGCCATTGCCCTCGTCACAACGTTGTCGCAACTGATTATGGCGCAGGGAAAAGGCAGGGAAGATGGCGGAGTGGATATTATACAAAGCGACACGGATGACAATCGCGCGATTAATTGTCGACTTCGGAAGGAAGTCGAGAAATATATCTGCGAGGCAACGACGAAAGATGCGAGTGTCAAATATTAATCGATCGTTTTGTCGATTTCGTTGATTTCCGCACCGATGCCGCGAGATAACGCGCGTTCGCGAGACGCGCGATAACAAAGGTCTGGGACGAGAGTATCTGTACGCAAGACGTAGTGTGCACAAACAAAGAAAAAATCTGATTTTTTTTTTTTACAAAAATAATATCGAGAAAAACAAACAAATCGAGGAAGGAGAAAGTGAGCGCGATCGTGTGAGGGAGATTCGACGAGAGAGAAAGACGACGCGAAGACGGGGAAGAAAGAAATGCGCAACAGGGAGATGAGAAGAAGATAGAGAGAGCGGGAGAGCGCGCATGGCTTGTCGCTACGCGGCGATTCCGTCGCGCAGTCAGCTGATAGTCCAGTCAGCTGTAAATGTACACAAAACCGTTGTCCAACAGGTTCACGCGACGCCACATTCGATCGGTTGCGGGCGGGTTTTGCACACAGCCGCGTGCACAAATGGTCGTATCCGATGCGCGCTTCGCGCTCGCGAAGGATATATACCCTACTCCGTACAAATGCATACGTGCTATACGTATAACTCGCTCTGATTCCTTTTGTTCCGCGCGAGGTTGGTTGGAAACTACGTACGCTTATACTCAACCTTTCACGGAAAGAGGAGCGCGCACACACACACACACACACACACACACACAAGTGTGAGGAGAGGAGAATATTTTTCTAAAAACATTATTACGAAAAAACTAATTGCGCCGTTAAATTATAGGCGTTCTCAAAAGTTCTGACGGACTTCGCGATGGAAAAAACGAATCGAGTAATTAGTCGAAGACGATTTATTTCTACCGAGTAATCAAACTTTCTCACCATCTTTTCCCACTGTACTCGGTCTAGAAGCGGATAAATCGTTTTTGATAAAATTACTCCAGTTTTCTGTCGCAAAATTCAGAAAAGAAACAACTTTCGCACTCGTCCCAATATTGTTAACGCAAGAAAGAAAAGAGCGTGACGAGTTAAAAAATCCGATTTTTTCTCGAACCAATTGTTTCTAATTGCGCAAGTCTCCAATCTCTCATAAATCTCTTCTTCAAATGTTTTTTTTTACTCTTAGTTTTGGTTTCCTGACTCGAGAACACACACAGAGAGATCTCGGATCGTGATTCCAATGTACACAAGTATCGAACGATTGCGAATTACGAGCGTGATAGCGATTAAAAGCGGAATGATCGCGTGAAGCGTTTTGAATAAAAATAGTTGCGACGCAGAAATAGCGCGCGCGGATCTTGTGCAACAGCGTTTGTTCTTTTTCTGAACAAGGCATTCAGGAACGTTGCTTGACGATAACGGAGCGTCCCGTGTTCAGCGGGACGCAAAACCGTTGTGCAATAATTGCGCGATATTTCTCTCGGCTATTGTTAACAAGTTTTTTCTGTCAATGAAACACGCTTGTGACAAATCCCGTTTTGAGAATCATAAAAAATTAAAAAAAAAATAAAAAAAAAAGACGTTCGCGGCACAATGGTCGCCGTTCTCGGTCGAGAAACGCGAACTGACAAGGTTTTTTTTACGACACGCGACAGTTGAATCAGCTGTGATTGTGTACAAAACACGCGAGCTCCGATGCGCATTATCTCCGGTGACATTGCTTTTTAACATGTCTCTTGTGTCTTTATTATCGTACGCGCATCGTATCTATAATACGGGATTGGAGGAATAAATAGAATTGCGTTCGAGAGAGAGAGAGAGAGAGAGAGAGAGCGCGCGCGCGCGAATCACACATACGCACGCGAATGTGGCACATAACGAATAATAAATAATCACGTGAAGTACAGCGAGAATATCAAAACGCGAAAAGAAAATACACGGATATTAAGTTTTCAAAATAAACGCGTCGTATCTTGAGAAATGATGTTTGTTCCTCACGTGAGGTGGAGGAAAGCGAGTGCGATATCGCGAGATATCAAATCTTAGTGTGTGTATGTGTGTGTGTGTGTGTGTGTGTGTGTGTGTGCGCGCGCGCGCGCGCGATGAAATAAAACCAAAGTAATCCATTAACAACGGAAGAAAGGATCTATGATTGCCAATCATGACACACTCGTGTAGGACGAGGTGAGCGACAGACAAAACAAGATGGAAACGAGAGACGAGACGCGAGGTGAGGTGAGGTAAGGCGAGGCGAGGTGAGGTGAGATGAGGATGAGACGAGATGAGACGAGATGAGGTGAGACGAGGCGCGGGGCGGGCCACAACGAATGAGGCAGCTGACAGGCCCCATCAGCTGAGAACGTACACAAACCCGTTGCTTTAACGCAGCGTGCCCGCGACATCAAACGGGCATCTCGTTGCGTGCGGTTTGTGCGCAGCATTATATTATCTCGCCCGTTGCGAGAAAGATCTCTCTCGTTGAATTTTCACGCGAGTTTTACAAAAAAAAATTAATGCGTAGTTAGCGAGACGGACGAGAACGTATGGCACAAGTATGGAGTATACGTAATATGGTTCTCTCGCTCTCTCTCTCTCTCCTCGACTACACGCTTTACAGCGATTCGGCGATATCACGAGAATACGGATGTCTCACGGGAATCGAGCCGAGAGCTGGTCAATTAACAGCAAGAATAATTTATTTCGCGATGCGGAGCCGTTTTCCGTTCTACACGCTCCGATTAGCCCGATGTCCTACCGAGTGTCGCTTTCCGATTGCGCCGTGAAGTAGCGTCGTATTTGCGTTGCGTCGCTGCGCGACGCGTTTATTGCTCACGTCAAAACATTTCTGGTGTCACGATCGCGAGAAACGACAGGCGACCGATCTAGAAACGCAACAAGAATTGCGTACACGGGAATAAAAACGGAGGATGCTCGTAAAAGTGGCTTGTTTTTTTGTTTTTTTTTTTTTCACGTACCTCCATATGCATCCGTGACCGCTGCGACGAGCGACGACGCGGTTTCTTGGTGTTCTTTTGTCTCGCGACTTGATTGCCAGAAGTGTATAGATCGCGAATCACGGTTGCTTCGTCTCTGCGCGATGCCACAAACAACAACAACGACAACGACAATTCGTTTTGATCATTACTAAACACAGAACGCTCGCACGTTCACCGTACTGCTGATCGACTCGGCGTCGTTCGATTTATTTCGGTTCGTCCGCAGGCGGAATCGCATACGATGACCCGTGCGCACGCGCCGAACGGCGCGTCTTGCTTACGGACACCACCGGCAGGGCGCGCGAGTGTATCGACTTGAATTTCGTCGGAGTTCAGTTGCCGTCGCAGGTTGCTATGCACATACGTGTGTACACGAAGCTCGTATGTGTGCGACAAAACACACACGCGCACATACACACACATATATCTATAATTTGCGCACTTATCTCTACACGAAAGTAATGAAAGTAACTTTTGCATGCATAAATATAACTGTGTGCAATATATATTAAATATATATTACCTTTTTTTTTCGTTGATTTTTGTGTGCTTTTCTCATTTTACTATATAGATATATGTCTTGGAAAATTAGGATGTGATAAATAATACTCCGTTTCTTATGTCTTTCCGATTTTTTCTTATCTATTATTGAGAGAAGGAGGATGTTTTGTTCCTCCATGTCATGCGGTCTCAGATTTCAAATTGCTCTGATATTACATGTATAAAAGAATTGGATTGTTTTCTACGGAGAAACTTTTTGTTTGCTTTCAAATTACTTAAAAAAAAAAACCGTACCAAAACAATTTATAATATAAGAGCAAATGTACAAAAAAAACATAAACGTAATGTAAAAATATAAGTCATAAACGTAATGCAGTAATATGTCTTTCGCACACACAGAGTGAATCTAAATCTTGGTACATATAATTTTTATACAAAACAGTGTTGTTGTTAATATTTTCCAATTTTAAAACAAGTTCTGATGTATGATGAAATTTCGAAAGTGTGATCATAATTCTCTTTCCACACTCTCAGCTGAATATCAAGATTTCAATAAAAATTATATATTGCGTCATAATTTTTTTTCTTTTTTTTTTTTTTACAAAAACAACGCGATAAGAAATGGCTTGTATAATTTCAAATATATTAGATTAATAAAATATAATTATATTAATAATATATAAAGTACCTGCACGTGATATAATAATAATAATAATAATAATATCTTACGCTAATAAAACAAAAACTTACGAATCTCGCGGATTAATCTAATACAATGTAAACATTGACGCTGTTTTGAAAACAGCGGATATCGTACAATTCCCACGATATGTACTTACATATGTAATATAGCACACAGTTAATACTCTGCAAACGTCAAATTATAAACCGAAAAAGAGACAAAAAAGTGAGAGAAGCAACAAAATCGATTATGCATTAACTGAAAACAAAGATGTATAGGTAAAATGTCACTTGTTCAAAATTTTTGTGTTGCCACCGAAAAAGAAATCAACAAAAACCTAAATACGGAAAAAAAATCTGCATCTTTTTGCAAATTACTGAAATTTGTTTTACGTTGTACGTGTGAACATGTGTAACGTAAGATTGCCGGTGTGACAAGCGATGTTCTTTGCTTTCAGAAAAGAGATAGATATTAAAACTATGTAGGAAACCTTTATTTCGTGTTCTTTCCGATTTTCTAGCTATTCTATCAGTTAATACATTCTTTGCTGACAAAAAATTAAAATTTGCACTTTCTAGAAAAGCCCGCTAAGCAATTTTTCACGTAGCTGCACGAGACGTGACGCGCATTATGTTTTTTTTTTTTTTTTTTTTTATTCGTGGAGAAAATGTTTTAATGAAGATCAGAGATAATAATTCAAGCCGGTAAAAAAGCTTTTGCAATTCTAAACCTCTGTAAAAGAAACGTTTACAAATCTTTTTTGTATAAGATCATTTTAACTTTTTGTAATTTTTTCACGATGCTTCTCTTCGGAAACATATATTTCACGTTGTGTGTTCAATATATTTAAACTAATCACATATATATGTATTTTTTTTTGTTATTACATATATATACATAATTAGCTTATATATATATATAGTTCCTTTGTTTATATGATGTGTACATTGTATGTCACCGTATCGCAATAGTTCCTCATTAAAAACATTTACATCCATTTATATGTATATATATATAATATATATATAGATATTTGGATCTTATATAAAACCGGGGACTCTTACGTATCTCTAAAATTGTACGAGTTGTTAAATTTACTCGTGATGTTTAAACGTAAAAATATAAATCGCGCGAGGCTAAAATGCTTGTATCCCGTATAGATCTACATTAAAAAGAAAAAAAAATGCTTCATACATTTTAAAAATGCGCAATGCCTGCCACCCTCTTCCGAAACTTGGTTTGTTTTTTTCTTTATGGAATCTCCCTCTCTTTCTTTTCTGGTATTCGTTCGCAGTTCATACACACGTTCGATCACCTCCTCTCAATTACCATTGCACAAATATATAGTGAGAAGGACAACAAAGCATCGATACACGATGAACTTACTTTTTTTTTTTTTATCTTGGTTTATTTAATATATATTTTCTTATAAAGAGTGATGTCCTACTAAATAAAACGTAAATGACATGATGATCACCACACGATAGTATAATATATTCATTAAAATTCTCCTTCTCGTTAAGGCAACTAATTTTTTTAGTCTCATTTTACATATATCTAGAGTATAATATATATTTTTTTTTTATATTTGTATATTTATAAAGTGTATATTATGTAAAACACTAATATATATGGTTATTTCTATTTTCTTGTTACAAGCCTTATGTTAATTAGAATATAGACTGTATACTTTTTATACTCTTATATATACTCTGGTAATAAAATCGATTATTTCGTACTTGAATCTAGATATAAGTATATATATTTAACGTGTATTGTTAGTACATGAGAAGTGCGTGTAGAGGGTGGCAGCTGGGTGCGCATTTGCGAGTGCTATTGTTTCAAGGACTTTCCAGTCCCTCGTCTTTATACCGTCTCACATGGTGACATTCAACTGTATTGCTTTAGTGTCCACAGAACATGTTTGTTGTTGTTGCGTTTGTTGTTGCTGCTGCTGCTGCTGTTGTTGTTGTTGCTGCTGCTGCTGCTGCTGCTGCTGTTGCACCTGTTGCTGGACCTGTTGTTGAACCTGCTGCTGTATTGCCTGCAGTTGAATTGTTTTCGTATCGACGCATGTTTGTTGTTGCTGTTGCGGTTGCTGCTGCTGCTGTTGCGGTTGCTGCTGTACTTGCTGCTGCTGCTGAACCTGTTGCTGCTGCTGTTGCGCTTGTTGCTGCTGCTGCTGCTGCTGTTGTGCTTGTTGCGCAGCAGCTTGAGCAGCTTGCCTCTGCTGTTGTCTGAGTATACTTGGTGGCGGATCCATATGTTGACGTTGATGTAGTAATAAATGATTCTTCTGGAAGAAAGCCTTGCCGCATTTGTCACATACGTGCGATCTTATATGACAGCTGCCGTCTGTATGGCGTCGCTGATGCTGCGACAGACCATGCTTTTGTGCGAAGCCGCGACCGCAATCAGGACAAATGTGTGGTTTCGGTTTTGGTCCTGTACCTACCGGCGGCGACGTTTGCGTCGCGCCGTGCATATGACTAACGCCGGGCGTTCCTATTGGCCCATTTATCTGCAAATAATTCATTTCTATCAATTTATATGGAAATTATATGGTATATATTAATATATTAAAAGATGTATTGAAGTATACATAAAAAAAAAACAGTACCATAGTCATTACCTGATGAGTTGTTGGAGTGTTTGGAGTGAGAAAATGTGCTGGAGTTTGCTGGAAGGCAGCTGCTAGCCCACAAAGATCTGTTACAAGTGTCCGATCACCGGTATGTAACCTTTGATGCAAATTCAAAGCTTCTCTATTTGCGAAATCCAGCCCACATTCCCTAAAAACAAAATTACAAGTAAAATAAATAATTTGCTTATTTATTTAATTTTAAGTATAAGACATACGCACTTTTAGAATGTATGTATCTCAGATATGCTACTTATAATATCTCACCTGCATGTGAGAGACTTTTCGTCAGTATTTGCATTATTATTGTGGATCTTGGAGTGAGCTACTAGATCTGCTTTCCGAGGAAAAGCCTCTCCACATATGGTGCAAGCAAAAGGTGTTTCACCTGTGTGCAAACGCATATGCGCTAAAAGTGTTCTTTTCTGCAGAAATTCTTTTCCACATACGGTACACGAATGTGGAACTCTGCCGTGTAATCGGCCGTGATTAACTAGCTCGAACTTTCTCTGGAAGGTAGCACCGCAATCATGGCAAACAAACGGATGCAAGCTACCATGGAAGCGTGAATGCATTGTGAGATGATCCTTTTGGGAAAACGACTCGCCGCACTCCTCGCAAACGTAAGGTCTCTCTCCTGAGTGAAACTTACTGTGTGTCACTAAATGACGTTTTAGAGGAAATGCTCTTCCGCATTCCTGACACACAAATGGTCGTTCTCGCGTATGCACGCGAGTATGTGTTACAAGATGATGTTTTAATGTGAAGGATTTTTTACATTCTCGACATTGATAAGGTCTTTCTGCGCTATGCAGTAGTAAATGTGTGTGAAGACAATGTTTGTGCGCAAAACTCTTGCCACAATGAATACAGATATGTGGTCGTTCTCCTGTATGAACTCTTGCGTGTGTTGTGAGATGATGTTTGAGAAGAAAAGACTTCCCACACTCCGAACAGGAATATGGACGTTCTTTCGGTACACGAACTTGACTTCCCATATCTTGTTGCTGTTTGACTTTTGTCTCAATTTGGGTTGTGTTTACATGAGTCAAAACATGACCAAAATGAGTGGTACTGTCTGTTTGACTTGTTGCTACATTGTTCGTAGCATTTGCTTGATTTGACGCAGCAGCCGCTCTCTTCATTAAAATCTCATTGCACTCTTCTGCTGTCAACTGCAACGGTCCAAGTGGTGTCATAAAGTGCTTGCTCATTGCGTGTTTGTCGGTTGTAAAAACTAGAGTGTTAGGAAATAAAGAAGGTGGAGGTGTAGGATGTGCCGCATCGCAATTGCATCCCCCTTTGTCACACGTTAATGAAAATACATCATGATGCTTCTTAGTACGAACATGAGTACCATGGGTGGTTTGATTATGCGCTCCGCCGGTATGGCCATGATGAGTAGTAGGTGTTTGTTGACAACTTTCGTTCATCCCAAACATTGGACGACGATGAGCTGTAGTGGCAACCTTAGGCTTAATGTCAACTTGTATCTTCTGATTGGACCCTTGATCCTGGTTATTGTTGACTGCGTAACTGATATTTGTGGCCAGTTCGTTCTGGGTATTTTCACGGGTCTCTGTTCCTGGCCCACTAAAGGTCCAAGCATACCCAAATCCTGTGCCAGCATTGCCAGGTGTAGTACACATATTCGTCGTAGTGGTCGGGTCAGCCTGGCTGGACACGTTACTGGCAGTTTCCTCTGTTAACGCATTTTCCGTGCCAGCCCTTCCCACTACAACAAACTGATCGGTAGGAAATATTTTGATTGGTTCCAAATAAACGTACCCGTTGCACTCCAGTATCTCAGCCTTGGATGTAAGATGCAGCTATCATATCTGTCAAAACCATCTATAAAATATAATATTGCTACTAGGACTTGGTATTCCTATTGTCTTATTATACAGAAACGGTGTACCGCGTAAAGTTGGTAATATCTGGCAAAATTCTTCAAGTGCGTGCAACGTGCTCCCGAGGCGCCTTCGCCGATTACGAATCACGATGCGGGGCCCCGGGAGGTAAGACGAAGCTAGGCTAGGGCCGACAAGCAATTCGAGCGAGTCGGAAATATTGAAGCAGACGGCGAAGATCAGTCGTTCTCTGTTTTCAAAATGTTCTTCAACTGACTCCGAAGTAACTTTCGTATTGTTGCCGCGCCACTGTGCCACCAATAGAAAAAAAACACCGTTCGGCTAGACGGTTTTTCTATGTGTTGGAGACCATAAGTGATTTCTCGTTTCGGTCGGGCCCGCGGCGTCCGCGGATCCTTACAGACAAACCTCCACCTTCCTCTGGCGGCACTCCCACGCGATCACCAACATTCAGTATACTTTTTTCGCGTTCTGCGCTCACAAACTGCTTTTTGATTTTGACACACGCACGACCGACGGTCATTAATTTTACATAATTGCATATTTTATTGTCCATACAAACTAGCCTCACATATCGGCCATTTTATTTGTAAACTACCAAAAAACAATGTTGCCAATGTACGCGCGATTTTGGAGGGAGCGGATCCGCCGCCGATAGCGTCGCCGAATGCTTCCGTGATGGCAGCACTTTTCGTTGCTATTCACAGGAAGCGCGGGCTTCGCCGTTCGCCAGCACTTTTTCCGCCATATTCGAATACGCTCGGTGAGCGCGTTCGACAGCGTGCCGTACAAATTGTCACATCTTCAAACAAATCCCCTTTGATAAAAAACAATCTAAAAATATCTTTTAAGTTTTATTACTATTATCTATCAACATATACAGAAGTACGCGAGTATTTCAATAAAATTATTATTACACGTGCTTTGCCTCGGTGGTTAGTAGTAGTGACAATAATGCGATAGAGAGGGAGCAAGTGTGAGAATCTCACTCTCTCTCTCTCTCTCTCTCTCTCTGACGAGAGAACAGTCAGACCCGCCAATAGATAGAGAGGTCTGACTTCGAATCTGACACACATTCGGAATATCTGTACAGAAAAATATACACAAGGTGTGTACAAAGAACGAAAATGTATATAAATTTTATAGCAAGTACACGTCATTTCTTTCTGGCCGGCGTGACTCCTCGCAATGTGACGAGCACACAGACGTTCGTTGCATGTGTATACCTCATCATCACATGTGACGTAAACTGCATCAGATATTAATGGTTTTATTTACTTTTAATATTCGCGTGAGAAAAGGAAAATTCACAAACGTCAAAATTATTTCACAATATTTATTGAAAACATTTCTCATATCCACGAAGTGGATACATAAAAACTTGTTTTCAATGAGGTTTTTGTGTGTAAAATAAGTTTTTTTTCAATAATAGAATTTATACAAAATATTATTTTGGACGACACAACGTTATTAGAATTTGGTGGGATTACAGATCGGATTCGCGAGATCGATGAACGAGCATTATATATCGAGAATAGATATCAATCGTCGCCGAATCGTTTTTCATCATCATTTACGGCCAGTATGTGGCGAATTATGAGACATGGAGGTCTCTAGGTGATACGGGGACAGAAACAGTTTCATCGAACGGTTTGGTCATCGCTACGCGGTAGCGCAAACTCAGCAACTGATAAGCAAGCCCGCTCGTTAATGGCCCGGCATCACTGTCTGGCAAAAAGCCAACGCGTGCTGTTCGAATGAGAATCTTATAGGTACGTTTGTGTCTCTCTTCATACCACATTCTCGCATATCTCATTTGATTGACATTTACGTGTGCACACAGCAAATACGTCACACGTTTGTTCATTCATACGTTCATTCATATGTTTCTCTCACACCTCCGTNTTTTTTTTTTTTTTTTTTTTTTTATATATAACAGTTTCACAAGGTAAATCCTTGAAAAAAAGAATGCAAATCATTTTCACATCGTTACACAGTAAATGTTTAAACAATTACAGGAGTGTACAAACAACACGAAAATGGAAGAAAAAATGTTAGTGTTTGAAACCTTACTGAAACTTAATTTGCAATATTTTTAAAACAATTTATATAGTCTTCAATTATGCAATCTCTAATTATTAAACAATTATTTCTCTAACAATAATATACTTACACATTGTTTATGCGGCGCGAGGGAAGGAACAGTTCTTAAAACATTGTATTCTCGAAAACAGTGTATTTTCAGCGGACCGAAAAATGCATAGCCGCTTAAAGGCAGAGTGTATATAGCGGCGAAGTGCAGTCGGCAGATGCGTTATTTATGTAGCGGTTCGCTAAGTACGTTTCGTTGTGCGATACCTTCGATTCTGACGATCAGAGGGGGTTACGGATCACCGACGAGGGGGTGGGCTGTGTGTCCTCTGTATTCTCTCTTTTTACAAGGAAGAGCGCAGAGAGAGAGATGCGCGGGGACCCGAATCCTGAGGCAGTGGACCGTGAATGCGATACCAGAGCTTCACGTAGAGCATCAGTGTGAGGGAAGGGGGGAGGGTGCCGTCAAACAACCGTTCGTCGATCGTCCCTTCTCGGGCACATTCCCATCCCTCTGGCTTCGTCCTCCTCGCGTCAGCAGCAGGGTGATTTGTACGTATCAATTACGTCTTCCCACTACCATGGGACCGTCGATGACGGGCACTATCTATCTACGTCGGATAATTTTGTTACATCTGGATTGTAAAATTTGTTTGCGAGAATCGCTCGATGCAACATACGATGGTTCACAGAGAAAAATAATTTTAAAATCATATAAATTTTTTCCCCGCGCGAAATATAACCAAGTATCTCGTTTTTTTTTTTTTTTTTTTTTTTTNTTTTNTTTCGCATCTGCTCGAATAAATTGTACATAGGCGTAATTAAAATTACATCACAATTACATTCCCATGAGTATTTTAGTCATGCGCATACCGTTCGTTTGAAAATCCTATTCGCCTGGGGCCGCGCTGTACGGAGACCGCTTTTTCTATTCTCGAGAGAGATTGTAGCGTTTGCTCCTTTGATCTGGCGAATGTGAAGTAACTTTTATGCTTTCGGAAGTGGCGAGAGAGCACACGCAGATGATTATGATAATAATAATTTAATTTTTAGAGGCTCTTTTCTCTCTCTTTCTCTTTCTCTTTCTCTCTGATGTACTCAGCTACATGTACGAATACATACAAACTTATCAGTTCACCACGATGGTCTACCTCGCGCAGACGAACATATACGTAAAGCTGAAGACGACTCTCGAGGTCGATTGTGGACAATACGAACAGATGGAGTAGCTTCGAAATCGATCGAGAATTAATCCGGCGCTATCGCGTCTTGCAACTGTTGCCCCATTGTCTCATCGCCAAAATGAAAGGACGGGAGGGAGAGAGACGCGGATAAATTGATAAAGCAAGACGGTCGACTTTTCCTTCTTCTTTTCCATTCTTCGGATATTCCCAGCGTTTCCTCGCCGCTGAAGAAGCTTCGTTTGTATCCTGCATCTTTTCTCTCTTCTGCTTTCTTAACCGACCCTACGGAATTTCAAAGTTTTCTTCTTACTTCTTTTGTATTCGTTACACGTTTTTTGACCCGCGTTTCCTTTTATTTTTTAGAAAACAACAATTTAAAAAAATTAATATATTATAACCGTAGGTATTCATCAACTTACAACACACATGTTACATTTTCATGCAAACCAGTTGCGTCCCTTCTAACGCCTCGGCCACTTGCAGTTTTAACTACTTTCGACGATCCCTCCGGGCGCCGAGTGCCAAGAGAATTGTGTGGCGAGAATTATGTAATTATTGCACCGCAATTTGTCGCGAAAAACGGCGGCGCTGCTTGAATGACTCAAGTGTCTTGTGACGAGAACGGAGTCTGAAAAAGGGTCAATCTCGACTTGCTTACTTGTGAGATTCCTTCGCAAAGATGCGGATCGGTTTGAAGTTGTGTCTAATACGCACATAAAGTTTTTTAATCAAAATTAGTTGTTACGTAACTTACTGGTCGATGCAATTTTTGTTATAGCGACAAAAAATTAATTAATTTTTATAGATCTAATAATGCGCTCCCGTTATCGCGTCAGAATTTAAAAATACTGAGATAAGAAAAATCGAGATTAACAGCCAATTTTTTCACTTCTTGATAAGTTTTCGATAATTTTATCTAGAAGATATCTCCCAAAATTGGTTCTCCTTATTGGTTCTCAGAAGAATTTATCTAGAGGATAGCTATCGAGAGGTATGAAGAAATCGGTAAATATCGTAAATATCATAGTTGAAAGAAGAATATATAAATGATACTGATAAAACTGTGTCGCCTCAAAAAAGTCGTTCCAAATTTAAAATATCAACGATCTTATTATCTGTGTCACAAAGGTCGCTCTTGTGGGTTAAAAGTTAAAACAAACTTGCAGATCACTCGCTCGATTGGCAAACGGAGCATTTCAAACCAGAGATATTGTGTGTACTTCCTTTTAATCGTGGATCACCGCCAGATCCGTGACGACGTTTAACAAGGAAGAGGTCAAACGCTGCCGATACTGTCCGACGGAAGGGTCGAAGAAAGCCCTCCCCAGCGTTTGACACCAGGACAAGCTCGGACCGAGCCCAGTGCCGAGCGCACACACACACACACACAAATGCCGCGGGATCGTGTGCATACATATAAAGACGAATGGCTCGTTCGCAGCAGCAAACCCTCGAAAACCGAACAATCCACACGCGCGCGCGCGCGTACGCCAAGAATTACATCATTCACCCGGACCCTCCTCGTCTTCTTACCTACCTACCATCGCCACGTAGTCCTTTTCTTTCATGGCGCCTCCTTCTCCACGTTGTAAAACCGCCTGCACCTCGTCGTCCTCCGTCGGTGCCGAGTCATAACCGCGAGGAATACAATAGGCGGAAACCGCCGTCTTTTCTCCGCCGCTTGTTCAGACGACCGACGGTTTCGACCGTCACGCGGTGACTTCACGCGCGCGTAAAATATCGCCAATCAGATTCGCGATCAGTCGCGCGCATTGTTTTTCTTTTTCTCTTGTATTAAAAATTCAATTAGATTTTATATATCTCTCCCGCCTCGAGTAATCTCTCGCGTTTTTCTTCTCTCTTTCGAAACTGAGTCACGCACGCGGAAAAATCACTCGTGTAACATGCAGAAAACGGAGGTTCATCGCGGCGATTTTCAGAGGAAAAAAAAACAACCTTTGGCCGCGTTCCAATCGCGGAACGATGTTTCAGAGCTCTCGCAGTTCAATGACGACGACCGCTTTTGTCGCACGGTTTTGTATAATTTATTAGTGTCGAGAGCGATTCACATCGACGCGACCAATTCGACTCGCGATGTTTTTACATACGATGATGATGCGAAGAAAGTGAGGAATAACGCAAAAATTTGTTTGACAATTAGCTTTTAAGCAAAGCTTATTTCACGCACACTCGCGTGGTTTTACGTGGTGGAAATCAAATCGCGAAATTTTGTAGGAAAAGTTTTTGAAAAAAAATAAGAGAGAGAGAGAGAAATGTCGTGTGTACACTCATATTATGTGTTTCGCAACGAGTCTACGCGAGGTCGCGACCGATATCTCCATAGTACACGTCACATGTGCAGCGTGTAATTTTTTGCGTCCACGATTCATGGATGGCCAAACCGTTGAGGAAGAGAGCGCGGCGAAGATCTCGAATATCGATGACCGTGGGATACGCGCTGACGCGCGGTGATGGATGCATCGGCAGAACCAAAAGCACCGGTAATTTACCACAGCCGTTTGAAGGCTGAAAGAAATCCGGGTGACTATAGCCGGACTTTACGTGGCGAAGAAAACAGCGAGGATGAGGAGTGAAGGGGGAGGGAAGAGGAAAGGAGCGAATCACGGTAAGACAGAAAGAAGAAGAAGAAGAAGAAGAAGACCATGCGGAAGATTAGATCCCCAGAACGAGTAGGTGGGATTGGATTTGGCAGACGGGTGGCTCGTCGTCGTCGTCGTCGTCGTCGGTGGTGGATGCCGATGATGCCGAAGGAGTACGACAAGAAGCAGGGGAGCAAGGGGAACGGCGGGGAACTTTCTCAGAAGGGAAAGTCAGAGCAGGGTGGAATATAGAAGTGCACGGAAATAAAAGCAGGATGGAGAAAAGAGAAAGAGAGAGAGAAAGGAGAGAGGAGAGAGAACACACCGACAGAACGTAAGTGACAAAACGGGTGGTGTGTGGTATAGGTGAACTGCTGGACAACCAAACCACCCGAACTGTACTCGGCGGTATTTAAGGGAGAGCCCGCGAGCGTAGAGCGCCAGTTGTTAGCACGACCGGTTGGCGGTTAGCTTCGCGGAACTCACACCCGCCGGACCGTCACGTCGCGTGGCGCTCAAGGTGGTTCAAGTGCGAAAAATACGTCGAGTACTTTTGTTAGAAAAAGAAATGTGTGAAATATGAACATGTTCATCAAAGACAATATCTTTTAAATGAGAGTCAGAGAGCATCGCAATATAAAACCGTCTTAATAAATAATTCCGAGATTATTTGGTGACATCTTGAGGTGACACAAGTGCGATTGTTTGTCATTTCGCTCTTCGATAGAGCGTGTTTCGAATTGTCGTGATCTGTGTGACATGTGAAGGAAGAGCAAGCAATACAATTTTCAAATCGATATTTTAATATTACACGTGGAGAGTGTGGCATATGGCATTAATTGAATTGTTCGCACTTGAGAATTTGGTATCTTTGAATTTCGGACGGTACAGATGAGTGTGTTAAAGAGGTACGTTGGGTTTTTTCGTCGTTCAATTCGCGTCACTCGAAAAACACAGAATACTAATTGTTTCGAGACGACATTGATTTTTCATTAGTTTTGTAATATTCATATATTATATATACATAAGTGAAAATAAGAGATAAGACACAAAAATATACATGTCAGAAATGTAAAACCAATTAAATTCAGTTACGTAAGGAGAAGAATCTTGTTAAATAATACGGATATAGATATTTGAAAAATATAGCTATCAAAACTAAAGTATGCGATAGCGTGTTTTTCTGCGATTAAATATTGCATTATTTTTATTCGATTAGATATATATTATATCAGCAAATAGCATCACATTTTTGTATCTATTTATATATTTCCACCAATACGCGCTCAACATATATCACATTATTTTATTGAGCATTTATATAATGTTTTTGAAAAAGAATTAGATATAATTGTCATAATAGTAAGAACTAAAGAAGTTTACGCTAATTGTGTTTTCTAATTAATTGAAATAATTTTGCGCGCGTGCAAAATACTATATGTTGGTTCACAATTAGAATTTTGGTTTTTAGTTTCGAAGCGTACAAACTTTACGGACAAACTTTTGAGATCTTTTTTTCTTATTTGATCTTTAAAAAAGATAATAAAAATTTTTCTTTGTTATGTAATTTTAAGTTTAAGATTAGGATTGCTTTGTCTGTGACTCTACGCAAGTGTCACCTCAAATGTTTTTGATACACTATCGCAATCCGATGATAATATTTTCAAACAGGTACCCGATGCTGTTGCTAGTATTGGGGTTGGTCCTCACACAACCGTCTGTCGGAGTTTTACTGCAAGAAGGTACATATTTTGCACGATCGAACGTTTCGTCCGAACGACTCACCGGAACGTCTTCCAGTATTTCGATCGTCAGGATCATTTCCGACGGGCGATTGGAACGGATCATCCGGTGGGCCGGAGCTTGCGCCAAAGAGACCACTGTCAATTGGGGGTGGGCATAAAATTGCTTTTACACATCTTAACGTAATCCAAAAACGTAGTTTCAGGCTTCGAATTCGGGTAAATATTAAGCGCTGAAGAGCAAAACGACTGTTTCGACGCATTGTGTCTGTAAAGGCACATATCAGATCAGGGTGCTCGACCGATCAGAACAACTTTATTCGAGATTGGCTATCTCCCGTTCCGATTGGCCAAATCCCAATTTGTAGCAATCTTAGACGTAGAAGTTTAATACTGAAAAAAATTCGAACTCATCGGTATTCTCTTAAAATGCCACCCTTCTTGAAACGTAGTCAAGTGGTCAAGTGTTTTCATTGTAACAAAGACGCATTGTGGAGTGGGTTTAGCAACTCTCTTTACCATCTTCTTTTCTGAGGTAACATTTTCTCGAATATAGGCAAATCTCTCTTCCTATTCCACCCGCGTTTCTCTCCCCGTGTGTAGTCCGGAATGATTGAAGCGGGAACTCGGTTGGCAAGCACGAAAACAATGCCGCCTTTCACTATTGCCAATATACATGGAAGCTTGACTGTTATGTGTACACATTTAGCGTCGGTCAGGTCTTTCAAATGCCCCATCCGTCGTCCCGAAGAACGCTGATACAGAGTCTAGCTGCGGAACGGCAGTCTCTCTGTGAATCCTTGTCAGCCGCACCAAGTTTCAATACAATTGTAACACTCTATTAATGCTTCTGTGGAAGGAAAACCGATACCGAAACAAATAAATTTCACATTTTATCTTTTTCTCCTCTTCGCTGATTTACGTGAAAGAAAAAGCACCTTTACACGCCGCGTTCGATGAATATATTTTTAAACGTGTATCTACTCAAAATTTATCCAGAGGACATCCAACCGTATCACACAGCTAGCGTACGTGCAATGATATTTCATGTAGAATGTTTTTTTTTTTTTTTTTTTTGACAATTATGACTTATATGTACGCAAACAACTTGGAAATCAATAAATTATCAATAAAACTAACCGTTGAACTCGTTACAATGTAACTTGCGGGTTACCGAAAACAAGTAATGGCGCTACAATTTGGTTTGAAATTTTCAATTCTGAAAATTGTCATAAAAACGACGAGACAAATGTTATTCACGACAAAGAAATGGATTTTCTTACTTAAAAAGCAAAATAAAACAAAGCTACTAAAAGTAGAGTATATGTATATAAAATAAATGCGATAAGTGTAATTGTTATTTCATCGGAATGTGTGCGAGCGAAAAAGGATACAATTTATCATGTTTTATTCGTTGACAGTAACCGCAAAGCCAACCAAGCTCTTAAGCCGAAAAGCGGCAAGTTAAGTAAGCAAGGATTAGGTTCTGCGACGGGCGAATGTCGTGGAACCTTTACGTACAGGGGACCGGATTGGCCCCTTTCGCGCTGGACCTATAGAATGTACGGTAGATCGCCATCCTGTTTCTGTTTTAGTCTCCTCCTAGATGGGACTCATCTGCTGATGCTCTCACGAGGATACCGCGGAATACCACAACCACGAAGCGTCACTTTGCACTTAAACGCAGGACGGAAAGCTCTTTTACCGTTGTGAAGAAAGCGCATGTCCTATTTTCCTCCTCAAACCTTTCCTCCCTTTCCGACTAATACGTGAATAATTCGTTCTAAAAACAATCAGTTTCAGTTTTTTTCTCTTTTGTACGGTCTTACGACCAGAATATACATGTGGAATTTTGCGCCGATTAAAATTGCGCATCCGCTTTTTAATGTAATTCACATTGAAGAAAGTTTTATGTAAATAGGTTTTACGTTTTTTTTATCGACATTATTAAAGTGTGTGTGTGTGTGTGTGTGTGTGTCATCAATTATGTTGTAATTAATATTCATATTTTTCTTAATTCATATTTTTAGAAAACCTGATTGTGACTTCTACACAAATGATTTTGCGTAGAAAACGAATTTGATAAATGATAAATATTATTCACTATTATGTGAAATATTTTATAAATATTTTATAAATATTTGTTGCACGCAACTTCGAACCCAACGCAACGTTTTTAATCGCGATAATGTTTTTTTTTTGTTTTGTTTTTTTATCCTCTCAACAGAGACACGGACGTGACGCTGCGGCAGATCTGGCTTCGGAAGTCAAGCAGAAAGCTGCAATTGATATACGTCGGTGAAACTTTGACTGACTGCACCGACGAGAAGCTCGCGCGATGGAACGACAGCGAGTGCTCGCTCGATTCTCGCGGCGCCTATCGCTATCAACAAGATGACGAGGTGTCGATCGAGGTATTCCGTCCGGACGGCAAGGACGCTTCGAGAATACCTCGTGACATCTCCTGGTTATCGTCGACATCGGAGCTTCATCACCAATGCGATCGCATGAGGATGCGAATACGGAACCGAGTCGCGGTTCATCATCGACATAGGTACGATTGTGTAAAACAAAAAAAAAAAACGCAAGTTCTCAAACGCGAGAATAATCTCATTACGAGCGCGTGTTGAGCAAAAAATTGCGAGATAAATAAATTACATGTTCTTTCGATAATATAGAAAATACACGGAATCCACAAGTGCGTCAACGAACAACAAAGGACAAAATCGGGGCCGCAATCGAATTCGAAGAGAGTTGTTCATGATACCGGGAACGCAGTGGTGCGGCCGCGGTGATCGCGCCACGAAATACACCAATTTGGGTGGCTTCGGTGTGGCCGACGCCTGTTGCCGTAAACACGACACGGGTTGTCCCTTTTATATACCGGCGTTCGAGACGCGTTACGGTGTGTTCAATTGGAGGATTTCAAGCATGATGCATTGCGCTTGCGACGAGCGGTGAGTAATCGCAGCGAAGTTACGCGTGTGGCCCGGAGGGAGAAATTGTTTTTTTTTCTTCTTTTGTGCGTTTTACAGATTTCGCACGTGTTTGAAAATGGCCGGGACTGCGTCGGCCGATTTTATCGGCAAGATCTTCTTTAACGTGCTGCAATCCAAGTGCTTTGTTCTGAAGCCGCAAAAGGTGTGCGTTAAACGATCGTGGTGGGGCAAGTGTCAGCATCACGAATACCGAAAGCAGGCCTACGTGCGAGATAATGTTTCTTATTAAAATGCTGCAATTCGAAAATCGTAAAACTCGTAATCAACGTTCTTGCAAGACTCGTGAGCTGTAACTTGTCGATTAGTTTCTCACGATTGTTTCGTAAGCAACGACTTTGCGATCTATTCACACATTTGCTTAGAATTGTAGCATAAATTACAAACAATACAGAGATCGACATAAAAAAAATTTAAAAAATTAAAAAAAAAAAAATAGAATATTCTTCTTCCGGAGATGTCAATAGCAGTTCTCAGGGATATAATATTTTGTCGAATAATTAAAATATATACACGTCAAAGAGATAAGGGGGCAAAACCGCATATCGATTTTTAAATCAAGAAATTCTACGCCAAAGGTATGATTTTTGACAATATATCGTAACGTTTTTAATGTGGAGAATCGTTGCGTTACATTCAATCTATCAATATATAGATGAAGATCGCGAGTGTTATACATATATCGGAAATGAGAATGCATAACGAGAACGATTCTTCTAAATTATTACGTCCACATGAAATGCCTTTGCTTCAACGAAACGCGCCACTCAAACGCGATAAAATAATTAACTGTTTTATCTGGCATAGGTTTCAATACACGATTTGTAATATATATTGCAATTAAAACTAACGTTATTTCATAGAATATTTATATATATATATATATTATATATAATATATATTATATATATTACGCGATATATAAAAAGAGAGAAGGTTTTGCAGCATGTCCCAAATATATTATAAGTGATTTGTTTGAGCTTGCGCATTGAAACTTGTTCAAGTATGTTTTTTTTTTGGTTTAAGCAATCCTTATAGATAAAAAGCATGGGTTTGTCGTAATACAAAACATTGTAGGATCATTATATACAATTGTAGATATAAAAAGTTCGTTGAATTTGGAATATCACTAGTTATTAGAGAGAACGTAGGAGCAGAGAAAGAGAAATTATTGATCCTTGAGAAGTTCTGTTTCTTGGATCCGATATTCATAGTCGAATCTCTTGTATTTGAGATCGTCTCAAGTTCATCTTCAGATGCTCCGTAGCCAATGAGACAGCCCGTAAAGCATCGTGAGATAAACTCACGACTTATTGTTTTAAATATAAGAACGGATTGTGAATATTCGAGACTTTTTGATAGCACTTCTTTAAAAAAAAAAAAAAAACAGTGTAAAAATATAAGAGGCAAAACAAAATCACTGCGAAACATATAATATCGTAGATATATAAATTATGCAACTGTATATGTATTTACAAAATATACAAAACATTGACTCTATTTAATTATTAGAAATAAAAATCAAAAGCAAAAAATATGTGTAAGTGTAATTTTGTATTATATATATATTTATTACGTGAATATTTCTTTCTCTTGAAAAGAAAAAAGTTACGAATGTTTTTATTTTATTTTTTATTGATAAAGTTGACATATATATATATATATATATATATATATATATATATATATATATATATATATATAATACTTTCGCAATGCGATTAAAAAATTCATTATGAGATTGACTTTGTCTTGGCAAACCTTGTAACTGTGAGTCGCGGCTTCGCGCATGTGTGTGTGTGTGTGCCGGGATTGCCGGGAGATAGTGAGACGATAACACACAACTAAGAACTGTATACATACGCAGACTACCACATAGAATCATACGGCATGTGCAGTGGCGCGCACGCTGCGCTGTGTCTGGTTATTTTCATTTTCTGCGCGCGCGCGCGATCGCTAGTGAGATATCAGACCAAGAATAGGGATGCTCGATCGCGGTAAGATCTCGCTTGATTGGTCTCTCTCTGTTGTTTACCACAGTAGATATGAAATTTTTTGTTCATTTTTATTTCAAAATACAAGAAAACAATATTGAAGCAACATGCTGGTCAATGCTAACTGTCAGACGTTCAAATGACTAAAGTTTGCACGCAGTTACTTGAAAATGTACAACACACACGAGATGAAAATGCAACAGGGTAGTATCCCATGTTTGCGCAAGGAATTGAATCTTGCTCTCACCCTGCACGGTGGCCAAAGTTTTAGGTGCGTGTAATCACTGATCGATAATCCGAATGTAAGATCAAACTATATAAAATTTCTTCTTTTTTCAGGTTTTTTCTTTTAAATTTATAAGTTTTAACGAGATTATTTCAGATGGACCACTTATGACTCTGGCTACAGAGGTGTCTTTCACGGATGTGTTTGGACCTTGAGTCAAGATGAAGACCATTTGTTTTATACAGTGCAAGGAGATTTAAAAGATGGTGCGAACTATGATAACGTACTGTCTGAATACTTCCGACTGTCGGTGTCGCTACATGAACATTATAAAAAATGGGCGGAAGTAGATCCACATTTTGATAAGTGTTCAAGTGAAACCAATGCCGTTCGAATTTTGAAGCAAGATGTTGTAGAAAATTTATTTTCATTTATATGTAGCTCTAATAATAATATAACAAGGTATAAAATATGCACGTACAAGCTTTCAAATTTTTGTGTTTTATCAAACTGCATCTGTTTTAGGATATCAGGCATGGTTGAGAAATTATGTTCGTTATTTGGTCAGAAAATATGCTCTGTTGAAAATAAGGAGTATTATGATTTTCCAACGATAGAAATTTTGAAGGAAAAAAAAGTGGAAAACATATTAAAAAGTGAAAAATTTGGATATCGTGCTGCGTACATAGTTAATGCAGCAGAACGCTTGTCAGCATTGGGTGGGAGAAATTGGCTTACAAATCTGCAAAAAGAGAATAATATTCCTTATCAGACCGCAAGAGAACAGCTGATGACTCTGCCAGGAATTGGTCCAAAAGTTGCTGACTGTATATGTTTAATGTCTTTAGGCCACTTGGATGCCATTCCTATTGACACCCATATTTTTCAAATAGCACAGGCAAATTATTTACCACATTTAAGAAAGCAGAAAACTGTTACACCAAAAATTCACACTGAAGTCAGTAATTATTTACGAGAATTATGGGGTCCATTAGCGGGATGGGCACAAGCTATTGTATTTTCTACAAAGATCAATACCAGGTCCACGTCAGGTAGAAAGCAAAAATCTAATAACGAAAATGAAAATTTAATACAAGCAAAAGTTCTTAAGAAAATATGATTTTATTGTAAAAATTTTATTGTAAAAATTTTTTATCACTTTTTAACAACTTTGAGTCTTTTGTAAACGTGTCTGTATTAAGATATCTAAGAATAAGTTTTCTAGTTTTTAAAAATTGTTCATTTTTAATATTTCTCCTGAGCAATGTATGAAGAAAACTTTTTTTATTGTTTATTCGTACTTAAGTGCATGATCAATCGGGCACCAAAAAACGGATAAGCATATGTTACAAGCGCTTGATCTCTGCAACATGTCAGCAAACTGACAAAAATGACGCAAAGTGGGAAACTTTTTCCACAGTATCTTCTTTTGCAAAGGTGTTAAAACCCTTAGACAGGCACTTTGTAAAGACACTGGTATCGAGATGCTATAAGATAATTTCATTTTGCAGTCAGCTATTGTACTGCTTATTAATGGATAAAGTGTAACATTGTTCAGTTTTGTAAAAGCAATACCTGTAAAAAAGTAAAATCTAAGAGCATTTGAACAAATACTTAAGACTATACTTCTACTCTCTTTGATCTTCATATAATTCAGTAAAAATGTTTCAAATGATTTTAAGTGAATACTTGAGAACAATTTTAGCAGAAATAACATTTAGTTGTGCTAATCTTTCAAATATCTTTTACTTGTTGAAATATAGAGTTCAATTTTCAGAAAAATTAAGACAGATCTTTTGGAAATCACATAAATTTATTTGCAACATACCCAATGGATTTCGATTGAGGAAAAATTGTAAAGTACCAGTCCAAGTGTCGAGATGTATTCCTATCAAATCATTCTGACCAAAAGGAGGCCCATATTTACAGATTTTACCATCATGGTGTAAAAATCCTGTATATGACAAACCCCATGATTCACAATCTTGTCCAACTAAAGAATAGAAACCTGAGGTTTGTACTGTTACAGCCTTTGCAGTTCCTACTCCAACCATCTAACAAAAGAAACAAATAGAAACTTATTGGACATTAAACCTCTGCACCAGGTTTTCTATATAAATCATTTTTAAGATGAATTCAAAAAGCAGTAACTTATTACCACAGCTGTGCCATATAGTTCCGTTATCATTTGTATCTCCCAAAAGTGATGTCTTTCTTTTTCAAGTGGTTTGTCACCTCTTATCACAGCTGTACCTGTGCTATATACAGGATTAAACACAACTTGTGTGTTTTTCTGGGAAAGCACAACTGCCAAATCAAGTCTTTTAACAAAATTGTCGTCCCAGACCCAATCATAATGAAAAGCTGAATCAGCTATAAACAAAATATGACTAAAATAAAATGTTAAATAAATCATTTATTTATTGCGATTAACGAAAAGGTAAGTAATAACACTTACATTCTTTTAGAATTTTTAGTGTTTTTCCATCACAAGCTGTCGTATCAGATTTTTCCATCTCTTTTCTTTCTCTCATCCTATCCTCGAATTAGTAATGCTAGATAAAAAGCAATAAGAAAGTGAGATCTTGCTGACGTTAGCAAAGAGTTGGTCTCATTGATCTTTTGATCTTTTGATTTGAATATCGTAAACATTTGCTGCGTTCGGTAATGCAAATCGGAAACGTGTTTATTCGATTTTAATTTTACGTATTTGCGTTTGGATTTGTACTTTGTACCGTCGACGTTTTCGATTTGCAAAACCAAGCGTAGCTTTAGTACATACGGTTGTACAGAAGAGTGCACCATATCATGCCGCGTCAGAGAAGAGGAAGTATCAAAAATTTTTCCTCCGGTTGCCCCTACTACCGCGTGCCGTTCTCTTTCGATCTCTGCCAGCGACACGATATGGTGCACTCCTCTGTCAATACAAGCAACATGTCAATGACAAGCAACAAACGCAATGCGCTTGCTAAGCTCTAACAATAAGTTCTGCCAGAGAAAAGACAGAGCGGCCAGACACATAAGAAAATGTGTAATCGCTTTTCTGTTCTGTAAGTCAACGCAATGTCTATGAGTGGTGCACATTGGCAACTACTGATGGGTACTGGCTCAGGTGGTTACTGCTCTTATGGCTCAGTAGACCTTTGTAGCCATACATTGACAACTACGTAGCCATGTCCACGAACGTGCTATGTGATGGCTATGTGCTTTCCCACAATCGTGCGGTTCTATTTCGTGCTATGTGCACAAGTCCAAGTGTCGAGCAGTGATGAAAAATTTGACCGGCCAGCACCAAGAGCACGAGGTGGTGAGAGCCACTGAGGGCACGCACACCAGCGAACCGTCCGTGTGCGTGACGGCGGTTCTCGCTTGTGTGCATCTCCCAGTGGCTCCCACTCTTGATGCTGGCCGGTCAAATCTTTCATCACTGGTGTCGAGCAGTGTTCACAGTTTTGGCTCTTTTACAGCATTCTAAAGCGAAACAGGTGCAAGATCGTCTCAACCAATGAGCATCTGATGTCGCTTTATAAATTTTCTCCTATGGGCAAGCTATGCCATTTTGTGTGCAACGGCCCTAAGTTATCACATTCTTCCGTGTGGTCGGTATCTTAGCGCGCAGGGAGCATTATTTTTTAGCATATGTATCACTCTTGAAAGAAAGTTTATACAATTTCTCGCGAATAACAGTCGGACATATTAGTGTGGATTATTCCAAAAGTCTACTAGATATAAAAAAATCAAATCATGACTTCTCGCGCTTTTGACGTTAATTTCAATATGGCTGCTATGAGTATTCGGGAGCTTTAATTGACAGGTGTTTTAATAAGAGATTTCTTCGAAAGTATTTAGTAATAAGTGCGTAAGTACCTGTGAAAGTTTACGTCTAGAAGATTTACATTTGTTTTTCTTAAATTGGAAAAGTTCTATTCGCGCAAAGGTAACTTTGTTACGTACAAGTAAAAATCTATTCGACATTTTTGGCAATTATTTGATCTTTTTCTGTTTTCGTTTGTTTACTTTGTAATCGTTCAAAAAGTTTTCGCTTTTTTAATTATATACAATTGTTTTAGATAATAGCAACATGTCAGCGGTATATCCGACTTTACCAAAATTGGCAGTGAGAGACAACATCGCGGATGATGATGATCTCACCGATATTGACGACGAAGTGTTTATCAGAGATGGAAGAAACGGTGGATTGAAATTAGACGATGATGGCGGGGTCAAGCGGCCCCTTATGGCACCTCGCAGAAAATACAAAAAGTCTTGTAACTTTCAGACTCATAGAGTCCCATACAAAGCTCTTTTTGTGCCACTGTGTTATGGGATGATAGCACTGATTGTAATATTAGGTTTAATTATACTTTGTATATTTACCGTAAACATATTCCCGATGCCGTTAACTATATTAAAAAATTGGCTGTCACACGAGTTAAAAGACTCTGTTAATACGTCGCAAGTTATCCCATGTACTTCGCTCTCATCAAAAGTTTTGTGGACCAGATCATTGCCGAAATTAACTTCGGAGGCACCTCTTAGAAGCAATGACGTCAACTTGGATGGAATTGAAGATATCATTGTGGGTTTTAGTACACTGTGGGATTTAGGTATAATTCATTGGCATGTTTATCTTATGTAAATTTATATGTATGTATTGTGTGTGTTTTTATATTTTATTATTTTTTCTTTTAGTTTAATATTTTGCTTTTTTATGTATTAGGTTTGCATTGTGATTGTTGCTATTTTTATTTGTTCGTTTCTTTTACAGATTTTGATTTAGCAATTATATGATGCTTCTTTCCATGGTGAATATTTAATGTTATTTTATGGTTAAATTAATGATTCAAATGATTAAACAATAAATGATCATTAATTTCAATTTTTTTAGGTCTGGATACAATTGATGCTCCAGAATATATCTGTACTCGATATTTCGAGAAGCAAACGCCGTGTCTAGGTGGTGTGTTAGCACTGAATGGTAAAACAGGTGAACCTATTTGGACGCACTGGACTGCCCATGCTATATTTTCTGTTGACTGTAGTGTAGAAATAACAGTTGATAACGTCAAAGATTGTATCATATCTGGACGAGGTGGAATACTACAGGCTATTAATGGCCATGATGGTTCCAACATTTGGGAAATTCCACCTCAAGATACACCCACAGAGCAGCAAAGAATTTTGGATGTTTACGATGCGAGATTCATAGCCGATATAGATGGAGACGGTATTGCTGATGTAATAGCGTCACATACTACGCAATCGTGGTATGGTGTCCAAGCAAGCAATGTGCTCATAGTCTCAGGAAGAAGTGGGAAAATTATACGCAATATCAATTTACCAGATACAGAACAGCTGTTCATAGCACCACAAATTATGGCGCATCCTGATGAATCAAACATATTTGTTCTGGCTACGAGCAGTCAGCAAGGGGGCGGAGGATTGTATATAATGTCCCAAGCTAACATATTTTATGGTGATGTGGTACGTAATCATATGTATAAAAATTTGTATTGAATATTTGTGTAGAAGAAAACTCGCTTTATTTTGATGATTTTGTTACAGCAATTACGAAAGCTCCATCACAATACAGGAAAGGGTGTATTAGTGCCGCCAATTTTGATCGATATTACTTCAGATGGAATAGAGGACATTGTCGCGGCTATGTTCAATTCTACAATTATAGCGTACAATGGATCGACGTTCGAACCTATCTGGAATTATACCGTTCCCAATTCTGAAGTAATCAGCATTCCTATCCCCGGTTATTACAATGATGACGAAATACCGGATTTCATGGTTAAGCATCAGATAGGCGTTGACTTTCTCACGTATTATTATACCGTAGCTACAATCATAGACGGTCGTAATGGACAACCCTTGCTTGAGAAAGAGATAGTGGATAGTTTGAGCGGACAAATGTCTGGATTGTCGATCACCGTTGATGGGTTTGGTAACGACTGGTTTCTGCATTGGTCCGCCGACTGTTTGAACTACGAGGGGGTCAAAGAACAATATCAGTTCATGAAAGATCAAAGTCTCGTGTCGTGGCGCACTGATCTCTGCCGATTGAGATTCAATTCGACGCTTGCTACAAAACTTCTGGCACTCAGCCAACACGTTGGCCCACCTGGAATGTCGTTGTATTTCTCGGAAGAATGGAAGTCGGTGGAATTCAACAATTCGATTGATCCGCGAAAAGATGCGGATAAATATTTAGACACTCATCCGCGGATCACGGATACGGCTTACGGAGATCAGCCTCTCGTCTCCGAAAGATCTCCGAAAGTTCACAAAAATCATCAGAAAGACAATAGTATCTTCAAGCATAAAAATAACAATTTACTTGCGGAAATTGGTAAATACGATCCTGACATGGTGTACGAAAATGTGGATGAATTTAAGACTCATAAAAAACACAATCCTGTTGTCGGTCAGGATGAGGACGATGTAGAGAATGTAAACGTAGATCGAGCGTGGAAGCACGATAGCAATAAATGGTTAGGAGATACATCTGTACAGTCAGACAAAGAGTACGACGGTATTTATAGAGACGATGACGGCAACAACGAAGACAGCGAACAGAATTTGGATTACTCGCAGGCCGAGGTGCGAGAGCAGAGGAGTGTTGGCGGAATTGAAGATTCGTACCCGACAAATATTTCCCGTCACGAACATGTTACCGAAGAAATTAGTACCCACTTAACTGCATCTTCTAATTGGACACGACACAATTCTCAATTAAATAACGACGATATTAATATAGAAAAGATGAGAGGAATGGAAGACATTAACGGCACATTGAATAGCACAATGGACGAAACTGATATGACGAACGTATCAACGGCATCAACTCTTCAAGAAGAAGTTTCATCGACTATGTCAAATAATAACTCAAATATAGAAGAAATTGTCGCGATGCAAAATACATCCTTAACCACAAAAGAATCGGTCGAAGTAAATAGTACGCAGTTTAATCTTGAAATGTTAGAAAACTCACTTGCCGAAGAGTCAAATGTTACAAACAACCAGATAATTAATAACAATCAAGATGTAACGTCTACTACTGACAGACTTGCAAATGTTGCACAACGAAAACAAACTTACAAGCCTAATTTCCCCAACATTGCCGCGGAGGATGACGCGAACGATGACGCTAGTATTGAAAAAGTATTCAAACGGGAATCGTTGAAAAATCAAAATAAAGACAGGCTCAACAGGAAGCAGTCGCTGATATTGTCGTCGATAACGGATAAAGATTACAGGATGCGAGAAAGGCGAAGAACGAAACGGAAATCTGAAATTAGCGGCAAACGATCGAGCGATGTCAATGGTATTCAGAGACAACCGCCAACTGGTATCTTGCTACCGTCTATCGTTGAATCTAAGGGAAGAAATTCAATAGATTTGGTATTTTCTACATTTTGGCTACCGCCGTCCGAGGTATCTCTGATTTTGTCTCAAGCGGATCTGGAGTGCATTCACAGAAAAAAGGCATTGTCCGAGAATAAGTTTCCGTACAAAACCGACGACGACATTATCGCCGAGTGCTTGTCCAAGCGAGGTGTCAATTATAGATTGTATCAGGAGTCGAAAGATAGGGAAAATGTCAAAATTGCGTTCGGCCAGATGACAATATACAGAATGAAATTGGAATGCGTATGTCCGGAAGACATGTTACCCAATCAAACTTGCCGGAACATTTCGTCACAACAGAGCTGGCCCCAACATCTGGGATCTTACGGGAACGGTTATTTCAAACCACTACGTAAATCAAAAGAATCAAAGGAGGAGAATCTCTCTTAATGGAACTTACAATTTGATTTTATCGAGAAACTTCTCTCACATTGTAACGCTTTAATAGTCGTTAATACCTGATGGGTCAAAGAGAGAAATATATTATCGAGAACATTAGCTTTTATGCACTGTTTATAAAAGTATACAATAACAAAACGTAAACGTAATCAATTGTTATACAATAATTATATACAGGGTGTCCCAGAATTGCCGTACAATCTCTCGTAGGCAGATAGGAGTAAAACTGAGTCGAAAAGTCCTGAACTATTTTTTTCTATTATTTATAATAAAGGAGTACTTATTGAGTAAATCAGGCCAATCAGCGCAGATCTTTAGCCAGGCACACGTCAGTGAGTACTCACACACACCAGGCGCGGCTCACTGACGTGCGGCTGGCTAAAGATCTGCGCTGATTGGCCTGATTTACTCAATAATTACTCCTTTATTATAAATAATAGAAAAAAATGGTTCAGGACTTTTCGACTCAGTTTTACTCCTTCTACCTGCCTACGAGAGATTGTACGGCAATTCTGGACACCCTGTATATATATATATATGTACACATAAATTATATATTCATATATATATATATATCTTCTCTTCTCACGAAAAACACATGGAAGAATACACAAATATGTATCTGTACATATAATTTACATACCGTGTGCGCGCGTTGTTCTGTTACAGTTAATTTTATTGTATTGTTTTCTTTTTAAACAGAAGCAAGAAGCACATATTAAAGCTTTATGCTATAATCATATATCTGTTATTCACTTGTTGATCATATAAGAGTATTCAGAGTATTAGTTACTAGTAAAACTGAATGTGTGCCAAAAATTGATTTTAACGTTCTCTAAACGATACGTACAAGTATATATTCCAGAATTTGTTGTTATACTTTGTGTGATCGCGGTATGAAATTGGCGGTATGATTAAATATACGATAGAAGTATATGTGTTTTATTAACAATTTTAATGTATAATAAATATGTCTGTCTCTCTAAAAATCATAAAACGTGTATTGAGAATCAAAGTTTATGTAAGTTGACGTAAAATTTGATATCAACGTAAGTTAATTATTTTAAGCAACTGTGGAGAGACAACGTATACGACTATTATACAAAAAAAAAACATTTCTGGTGCTACTTTCTATATTTTTTTTTTGTATATAAGTTTTATCTATAATTTTTACAATAGAAGAAACGATTAAAACGTATAAAGTTTATGTGTATAAAGAAAACATTGACGTCTTTAAGATTAATTGTAAGTTTGCAAACTACCATGTAATACCATTCAATCACTGTTAAGTGTGTGTGCGTGTGCGTGTGTGCGTGTGTGTGTGTGTGTAATACAAATATTTGCAAAATGTAAAATATAAGTTATCGATCAATTTGTTTCATGTTTTTATTTTATTCTCTCGTATCCCGTACAGATTTTTTTTTATATCAAAGTTTTAATTTGTTGTTTACTTCTGTTGTATATGTTTGTGTATGTGTGTGTATGTGTGTGTGTGTGTGTATGTGACGTTGTTTGATCAATATAATGGAAGACGAGTTATTTTGATTCTCATGATCTGCATGAACGATAAAATAATCGCGAATTTTTTAATAACCTGCAATTAAAATAAAATGCAAGTTACGGCGGGAAGAAAAAATGTGATGCATTGTAAGACACACGTGTCACATGTGAGAGAAGTGATGGATGATCGATCAAAAATTAACAAATTCTTGATAATGCGTTAGCGAATAATCGTGCGTGTGCAGTGACGTTTGTTTGACGATCGTTAAACGATCAGAAAATCAATTTACTTGTGTAAGTTATTTCTTGATTATTAAAATATCTTCCTCCATAAAACCTCTCTCTCAACATTTCTTCGTGCATTAACCCTTTGCGGACGAGTGTCGGCAAATAGCCGTCCAAGTCTTTTTACCGTTGCGGACGCGTGTCGGCATATAGCCGCCCAATTCTCGCTCTGCGGCTGGCGTACGTTTGTCGTTCTAAACGATAAGATACGCATGGGTAGACGACTAAAATTGTTTGTTTATGATTTTATTGGATTTTATGAAAAAGTTATTTGAATAAAGCTTTAGTTTTTATAACGCAAACGTGCGACGTGAACATTTTCTTTACTGCGCGCTCCAATATCTGTCGTCCACAGCGACGCTCGCCCGTCGAGCGGCTCCGTCCGCAAAGGGTTAATAATAATTTTTTTTTTTTAACATTAAAGTTTTACGCTTGTTTATCTCTTAAACTCTCGAATTCTCAGAAAAATGGCTGTAGAATGTAAAACGATCGGAATTACGGACGAAGATGTGTACGAGCATTTTCGAAGACCGGTCGTGCCGTTCGCGGTACCGAAGATACGAGTCGCTGATAGACTTCCGCGCTATTGGAAGTACAAAGTTCCGAACGAAGTTTCGCGAGAACAATGTTGCACGGCTTCGTCTAAATCGGAGCCGCATAAAAATGTCCAAACGCAGACAGATTACAGAGAAAGCGAAGCGCAAACGGATCCTTGGGAGCCGCCGTACAAAGTTGTTCCAGGTGACAATTGTATCGCACGTATGACTTAATTAACAAAATCGTGAAAAAGGAACTAAAGACGTACAAACATCTTGGTGTAGTTTGGAAAAAAAATTTACAAAAAAAATTCATAATCTCCTCAAAGGTCACAATCCCGAAATACTGACACTGGCTCACTTAACTTGGGAGCACGGATTACCCGCGGGTGTTCACGAGATACACGTTATTAACCGAATGCAAATAAGAAGAGCCTGGGAAGCGGTTCTCCCGCCGATGAACACACCGGCCAACGTAAAGCTGCGGAGCTCGATAATAACAGCCTTGGAAATAGAGGAATGGGCGTTTCGGGAGTCGGTAAGCGTTTTTCGAAACTGAAGACTATTTTCTCAGTCAGAAATTTGATATTTCTATAATTACGCAACAATTGTAGGAGATCCAATTCATAATGGACTTGCGATTGAATCTGATGAGAAACCTCCTGCAAAGTCGTGAGTCGGAGCGCGAGAAGAAGGTGCGGGGCCGCTTCAATCGACTCCAGGAGAAACTGGGAAAGCACAGGGATGACAAAGTTAAGAATATCCGGCAGAATCTTAAACGAGATCTGCGGAAATTGCACAAAAAGTATCGCGACATACATCCCCGCAAACCGGACATAATTGATCAACACATCGATCCCAAGTCCGAGTTGTACGCGCCGCAAATGCGTTTAGGCGAACATCCTCAGAGGCAACACGAGACATTGCAGAAGCTGTCTATGAGAGAAGGTCTAATCAAGCGTAAGTGTGAGATGAGCAATTTCGTCGTTAATCTTGTGCAATATAATCGTAAAATTTAATTTATTTTTCAATTATTGAAAAAGAAGAAAAGAGAGACGCTCTCTTGAGCTGGTTACCGAATATCGAGGAATCGAAGGCGATTAAACAGAGGCCCAAACCGATAGACATCTGTATACGAGAAACCAGATGGACCGAAGAAAAGTTGAAACAACTGCATTCTGATTTGAAAACTATTCGAATGAACGTCAAACCTTTGGATGTGATTCCAACATTGATAAAGAGGAAAATTAAACCGCCGTCTTTGCCTGTCACACCGCGCAGATCGGACTTGTGGGACAGCAAGCAAAAAGAGTGGGAAGAATCTGCTACGTTTATTCAAAAGCTCGTCAGAGGCAGAGCGATACAGTGTCTGGTAAAGTATATCGTCGTTCATCGTGTAACGTGCGACGCAATGTTGATCAAAAATTCAAAATTTTAGATGCATGAAGGACGCGATAGATGCAGGGAGTTAATCGAAGAATTACAATCGGCTCAAGAACTCGAGCAAAGTGAAAAAGAACGTTGCGACGAGGAAGTTGCACATGTGATCGATTCGCAGCAAACACAGACGGACGATCAGTCAATACGGGAAGAACGTTTATGCGAAATTCTCAATTCTTTGGAAGGGAAGACAGTCTGTGAAATATTGGATTTTCTCAGCAAGGTAAGATTTTTTTTTTTGTAAACTCTTGTAGTGAAACTTGCTCGATTATCTTCCTCACATCTTCAGGAACTGGTGAGATTAGAAGATGAACGTAGAGCTCACGCGTTTGCTTTGCTTGCCGAAAGAGAAAGAAATAGACGAGAAGCCGCCGAAGCTGGTAGACGGCAATTGGAACGCAATCGACGACGGGAATTCGACGAGATGTTCAAGCAAGTCGTGAAAGTCAATCAGGACACAGTGGAAGCATATTTGGAGGACATCATAAAAGAAGGCATTGATTGGATATCTAACAAGGCAGCTAAAGAACACGCTTTGGACCTTTGTGATAAAGTGGATGCTATATCGCAGTGTGCTTTAGAAAAGTAAGATTGTTGACATTATGCATACACGTACATTGTAGTTTGGAAACAAGATACATAAAAGACGGCGTTATTCTTTCAGTGCAAATAAATTAGCAAAAGAGGAATTGGTGAAGGATATGATTTACAATTTTGTTTTACCAAACGTGGAGAAGCACAATATGAGAAAAAAAATTCGTGATCATCGACAAAGTTATACGCAAAGTGCGTACGTAACCGTTTGTGAAAAACTATTAGATTTGCCGTCCGTTAAACCAACACAAACTACGGCTCAGGAAATTTGTATAAAAAATGAAGATATGCAAACGATATGCATGGCAGCAAACATAGGGAAAAATGAGGTTTTTTCACAGCGTCACTCATATACCAGTAAAAGTTGTGTAGAAAAAACATCTCGTTTTAATATTTATTTTTTCAGGAACAAGATACTACAGAAATAGAAAAAACAACAGAATCTACGGTTTACACAATAGCTGACTTAGAATCAAACAAGGATTTATGAAGCACCTTTGTTTAACGGACATTTTCTCAATAATTCTCTACCAAAAATTATAAATTACTTAAGAACTGATCAAAGTAATTATAAATTACTTTGATCAGTTCTTAAAAACTTTGAGTTCTTAAAACAATTATAAATTACTTTGATCAGTTTTTTAATTCATATCAATTTGATTGCACTAAAGCAAATTCTACTTTCTTTGTGTTACAATATAAATTATTATAATTTTTAGGAATAATATTTTCATATTAGAAACAACATTATGTGTATGTTCTTCAAAAATAGTAAATATAATTCTTTTTTTACAATTACAAAATGTACTTATAAACATGTAAAAAATATGTTTATAGACAATGTTGCATTTTAGTGCGTGTAAAAAAAAACAAACATTATGAACAGAATTAATACTTTTTTATTAATCGTTCTGTGAAAAAATGTGTATATATATACACACGCGCGCGCGCGCGTCCACGCACAGGTAGACAGTAAACATCTAAGAAACGAAAATTTAGTACAAGTAGAAGAAAAAGTTTTCGTTAAAATCATACTTTCTTGAGAAAACTTTTTTTATCGCACTTTTTACAATTTTGATTCTTTTGTAAATGTGTAATTAATTAAGATACGTAGAACAATTTTTTCTATTAAAACAATATTGTCAAGTTTAATATTTCTCTTAAGCAATGTTCCGAAAAACTTTTTTTATTGTTTATTAATTCTTAATTGCATAATCATTCAGATGCAAAAAACATATATCTGTTCTTACGTAAGCATATGTTACAATCATTGATGTGATTTCTGAAGCAAAGTAGCATATTGACAAAGATGACGCAAACCAGGAAACTTTTTCCGCAGTATCTGTTTTTGCGAAGGTGTTAAGACTTTTAGGCAGGCACTTTGTAAAGATACTGGCATCGACACGCTATAAGTTAATTTTATATTGGTAGGTGTCTCTCGAGGAGCTCTTATGTAACATCTTATTATATTGTTAAGATGTTCTATTACTGGATAAAATGTATCATTGTTCAGATTTCTAAACATAATATCTGTAAAAAGAGTAAAATATTACAAAAAACATTTGAAAAAATACTTACGACTACTTACTTCTATTCTTTGAGCTTTACATAATTCAGCAAAATTGTTTCAAATGATTTTAAGTAAATACTTGAAAAAAATTTTAGCGGAAATGATATTTAGTTATAATGATTTTTCACATATCTTTTACTTTTTGAAACTTTTTATAGAGTTCAATTTTCTGAAAATTTAAAAGATAAATTTTTTGGAAATCATCAACTTCTTTACATACCTAATGGACGTCGATTATATAAAAAGCGTAAAATACCAGTCCAAGTGTCAAAATGTATTCCTAGATGTATTCCTATCAAAGAAGTATCAAAAGGGAGCCTATTTGAATATTTGTGATTAGTGGAAACTATTTCTATACAATATGTTTCATCTGACAAATCCCAAAAATAAACTAAATAGAAACCTGAAAAGTGACCCTTTGAAGATTCTATTCCAAAGGTCTAATAAAAGAAGTATAAATAGAAATGTATCGAACATCGAACATCTGTACCAGATTCTTTGTATAAAGCATTTGTAAGGGGATTATCGTGATTTTTCAACAATTTAAGAATTTTTTGAAAAAATTACCACGTGTAAATAACATTATTATGTACAACATGTAAAAATTTTAGAGAGCTCAACTTCACCAAAGTCGAGATATAAATTTCCAAAGTTGCGAGTCTTAACATTGAATCTTATGAAAGAATCGTTGTAAAAAGCATATTTTGCACTATAGCGTGAAAACCAAATTTAGGAAAGTTTTTAAAAAGTAATATGTTATTAAGTATTATAATTACTATATTATAGTTGAATTTCAGAAAGCTTAGCTTCACGGTTTCCAAAATATTGCGTTTTAAAGTTCAAAACGCGAAAGATTAGACGCGATATAAAACACGTACCGTTTCATGCATATACACGCATGATCTACTCTACAGTATACGTGACGTGTATGGATAAATGCGCGCATATGCACGAAACAAAACACATTTAGTGCGTGTAACACAAAACAAAACACTGTGTGAACAGTCACTTACAAAAGTTAGACTCTGAAAGAAAAAATGAAATGTAAGCAATGAATCTAGGCGCGCGCAGCTCGCGGTATTATATTTTTGAGGTGTATTATATCACGATAACTTCCTTAAAATGAATCCAACAAAAAGCAGTAACTTACTATTATCTTATAATCTCGTAGTCCCGTTATATAAATCGACCAAAAGTGATGTCTTCCTTTTTCGAATGGCTTATCACCTTTTAACACAGTTTTCTCCGAACTAGTAATCACAACGTTTGAGTTTTCATCCGAAAACATAACTCCACTCGAACAACAAGAGGAGTTAACAACATTTGTATCCCAAGCCCATTCATGAATTAGTGATTCCACTAGAAACAAAATATGACTAAAGTAATTTTTAAGTATATCATTTGTGTTATTTTTATCGTGATAAACAAAAAGATAATAACACTTTTCCATTTTGTTTTAATTTCTGATGTTTCCGTTTCTTCACAAAGTGTTGTATTAGATTTCTTTATCTCTTCTTCTTTCTTTGGTTTTGTGCAAATAAGAAACTCTTCTTCTTTTTACATCCACGTGGTTTACATTGAAAAGAAAATTCTATTGCGCATAAAGGTAGAAAAGCGAGCAAAAGTGGGGATAGCGTGCGGAACACTCCGCTGGTAGCCAATGGCTGCGTTTCGGCAGAATTCAGCGCTTATGCTGCGTTCTATTTGAGAAGAAAAACCGGAAAAACCAAAACTCATCCGTTTTGCGCACTTCCCTTACTAGAAAGTCCTTCCAATCCACAACCATTGGCTGTCAGGAAGTGTCCCGCCAATCCCACACGCAACGCTATACGCACTTTGTCCGCTTTTCTTTGTCTATGTGCAGTAAAATTTTCTTCTCAAATTGAACGCAGTAAGTATGGAAAGCGCTTTGCAGATGTGAGTTTTTCATGTGTGAGAAAGAGCATATCAGTGTGTTTCATTCACACTAGTGGACACTGTGGGCGCTTTCCAGCTACGTACACAGGCGACACTAGGTCTGTTTTTCTTGCATACACTTTATACACTTTAGTGTAAAGTGTACACTTTAGCGTTTTTCTTGCCGGAAGTGACGTTGAGTTACTTCATTACACGCTGTTCTTCTTGAAAGTGTAGTACACTTTAATGACGTAATTTACACGTTTTGTACACCTCCTTGAGAGGTGGTGTAAAGCTAGTGTAACGTTACAGCTTTAGTTTGTTTATGTTTTGAATGTCATTTTAGAACTCAGTTGGATNGAGAGGTGGTGTAAAGCTAGTGTAACGTTACAGCTTTAGTTTGTTTATGTTTTGAATGTCATTTTAGAACTCAGTTGGATGTGATGAGATGTTCATCAAGTGAAGTAATAGGTTATTGTATCAAATTTTACATATATATAATAAGATATATGTTAAAATATATGTTAAATTCATTACAATACCATTCTTTCAATATGATATAAATTATAAATTCTTTAAATATAGTATTAAAGTATATGTTAAATTATTAAAAATTATTTTGTTTGTGTAGTATTTTTTTTGTTTTTTTTTAATTTTTTTTTTGTATTTTTTTTTTCTCATCAGATGACAGATCAAACTCCAAAATATGACCAAGCATTTCTGCATTTATTTTGTTACACTTGTAACAGTACAATTATTAACTTTTAAAAAACTAAATATTTTTTAGTCGTTTTTACTTAAAACTTAAAACAACCAACACCATGCACAAATAACTGACTACGACTACGTTTACACGCACTGATAAAATCGTTTTAATAACAACCGTTTTCACGAAACTAATCAATCATACACTTTTCTTACACTCTGGCGTTTTTCTTGAAAAGCATACACTTTACACGATGTTTCCCCCACTTCCAAATAGTGTAGTGTATTAAAAGTGTAAGGTGTACACTTTACACTTTTCGTGTATGCAAGTAAAACAAACCTACTGTGTAACACAGTGTCCGTTAGTGTGAGGAAGAACGTATCAGTGTGTCTCAATTACACTAGTGAACACTGTGTTACGCAGTGTCGCCTGTGTACGTAGCTGGAAAGCGCCCATTGTCATATACTTCCATATTTCCAATAGATTTACAGGAAGATATCAATCACATGACAATAAGCAAAGCGCTTATTAATCGCCGAGTTCTGCTGAACGTAGCCAACGACGAAGAAGTGTTTATCATGCCCAATTTCTTCAACTCTGATGAGTTCTCCATGTAACTTTAGGTATCTAAAAGATAAAGTATCTTTTTGTATATCTTTATTCAGTAGATATCTATCAGGAAGAAATCGGGCTTTAGAGATGTTAGAAATGATAGATTGAAATTAGACGATTGGACAGAATCGAAAAAGAAGTTATGAAGCAACTCTATTTATAACAGACACTTTTTCAATAAGGGCCTGAGTACAATAGAGAAAATATTCAGAATAAGAATTAGAAATAGTAGTTATGTACTATACAATGACAAAAAATAAAATATAACATATAAATACAGGAAGTATGTCATAGTTGCATGATATATAGCCTATATTTATATACATTTATATGTTACATTTTATTTTTTCGCATCGAACATTACATTTAATCTCTGTTTTTAATTCCTATTCCTTATATTTTCTTTATTGTGCTCAGGCCCTAATTCTCTACCAGAAATTATAAGTCACTTGGGTCAGTTTTAATTCATATCAATTTGATTGCAGGAAATCAAATTCTACTTTCTTTGTGTTACATCATAAATTAATATAAATTTTTAGAAATAATATTCACACATATAAGAAACAATTAACATTTATAATATATTTTCTTCAAAATTATTAAATATAAGTCTTTTTACAATTAAAAAATGTTCTAAAACTTTAAACATGTAATAAATATGTTTATAGACATTATTGCATTTTTGCATGTCAAAAAGAAAACAAACATGAACAGAAGTAATGATTTTCTATTAATCTTTCTGTAAAGAAACTGTATATATGTAAAATGTTATACACGTAAATGTACGTTTAGTTAGAATATTCCATTTTACACGTATTGTCTATTTGCATTTTTTTAATTATTTCACTAATTGCACAATGAAATTTTGATTTCAAGCATTTATCTTAGATGTTTACATATGTATACAATTATGTTGCTAAGAAATCCCATGGAAAAGTATTATAAATATTGATATACATATATTAATATGTAAGCAGTTGTAAACATACTTACTATCTGGAATTGGACCAAAACTTGCTGACTGTACGTGTTTATATTCTCTAGACCACTTAGACGCTATTCCTATTGTCACTCATATTTTTCAAATAGCACAGGCAAATTTAAGGAAGCAGAAGACACCACAAATTCATATTGAAGTCAGTATTTATGAGAATTATGAGGTTCATTAGCGAGGTGGACACAAGCTAATTATATTTTATACAAAAATCAATACCAAATTCACGTCAGGTAGAAAGCAAAAATCTAAGAACGAAAACGAAAATCTAGTACAAACAGAGATTCTTAAAAAAATATGCTTTTATTGAAAAAACTTTTTTTTATCGCACTTTTTTATATACATACTTTGTAACACCTTTGAATCTTTTGTAAATGTGTATTACGGTACGTAAAAATAATTTTTCTATGACTGCTGTCATTTTGAAAAGACACAGATTAACACACTCGAGCACAGTTTAACTTTCTTCCCAAAGAGTCAAAGAATGTCGATTGAGGTCGGTCACAATTATAAATGAAAAGCGACGTGTGGCAATTTGTGTCTTTTCTAAAAGGAAAGCAGCGTATAAAAAGTCAAGTTTTAATATGCCTCTTGAGTAATGTACCGAAAGGCTTTTCCTTTATATTAGTCCTCAATTGCAAGATTATTTATCGAGTGACAAAAGGATGTGCGTATAATACAAATACCATTTTGTTTCCGCAGCATATCAGCAAAGTAACAAAGATGACGCAAACCAGGAAACTTTTTCCGCAGTATCTGTTTTTGCGAACGTGTTAAGACTTTTACACAAGCACTTTGTAAAGATGCTGGTATCGACATGCTATAAGTTAATATTACTTTGGTACTTAGTTCTCTGGTATACATATAGGTTGTATAGCTTATTAATGGATACAATGTATAATTGTTCAAGTTTCTAAAAGCATCACCTATAAAAAGAGTAAAATACTTCTAAGATGATTTGAACAAATACTTATGACTATACTTATATTTTTTGATCTTCATATAATTTAGTAAAAATGTTTCAAATGATTTTATCAGAATGGTTTTTTACAGAAATAATATTTATGTTGTAATGATCTTTCACATATCTTTTACTTGTTGAAATTTAGAGTTTACTTTTTAGAAAAATTAAAAGATAGATCTTTTGGAAATTACATCAACTTATTTGCAACATACCTAATGGACGTCGATTGTAGAAAAATTGTAAAGTACCAGCCCAAGTGTCAAGATGTATTCTTATTAAATAATTAGAATCAAAATGATTATAATCAAGATCTTTTTTTTTACCATCATGATGTAAAGATAGTTCACTACACAAAAAACCCCATGATTCACAATCTTGTCCAATTGAATAAGAACTTGAAGTTGCAGCCTTTGCAGTTCCTACTCCAACAATCTAACAAAAGAAGTATAAATAGAAATTTATCGAACATCAAACTTCTGTACCAGATTCTCTGTATAAAGCATTTTTTAAATGAATTCAACAAAAAGCAGTAACTTACTATAGAGGTTTGGAATCCCGTTATATGAATTCCCCAAAAGTGATGTCTTCCTTTTTCAAGTGGCTTGTCACCTCTTAACACACCATATGTATGTAGACCACCTGTAGGATTAAACAAAATTTGTGTGTTTTCCTGTGAAACCACAATTGAAGAATGAAGTTTTTTAACATAACTTTCATCCCAAGTCCATTCATGCGGGCGTGAATCAGCTATAAACAAAATATGACTAAAATAAGTTTTTAATACATTATATGTTATAATTTTTGTGATAAACAAAAAGGTAATAACACTCTTACATTTTTCTAGAATTGTTGTTTCTTTTTTTTCACAAGATGTATCAGATTTCTTCATCTCTTCTTCTTTGTTTGGTTTCGTGCAAATAGAAAACTGTTATTTCTTTCATCCACGTGGTTTAAATTGAAAACTTTTATACGCATAAGAAGCTAAGTGGGGATAGCGTTTGCGCGTGGACACCCCGCTGGCAGCCAATGGGTGCTTTCCAGCTACGTACACAGACGACACTGGTCTAGTTTCTACAAAAGCATTAATTCACACCTAATGCGGCGTAGAATCAATTTTAAGTCGATGTCGATGGTAACGCGTCAAATTGCGCTCATTTCACTTCCGCTTTGATCTGTATATAAGTACTCTACTTCCAGTAGAAACGGAACACTAAATTTGATCTGTACTAGAGTAGAACCGAATTGAGTTTTGGTGGAAACTAGACCAGTGAATTGAAATTAAACGATTGGACAAAATCAAAAAAAATTTATGAAACAACTCTGTTTAACGGACATTTTGTCAATAATTCTCTACCAGAAATTATAAATTACTTGGATCAGTTTTAATTTATATCGATTTGCAGTAAAGCAAATTCTATTTTCTTTGTGTTACATCGTAAATTAATATAAATTTTTAGAAATAATATTCACATATTAAAAACAATTAAAAGTTGTGTAGTATATTTTCTTCAAAAATATTAAGGTCTGTTCTACAATCATAATCGATTATTCTTCTGTAATTGGTCTGTGATTGGTCAATTTCTTACGACTTACAACTTACGACAGTATTGTAGAACAGGCCTATATATAATTCTCTTTTTACAATTAAAAAATGTACTAAAACTCTGGCGTTGCTGCATTTAACGCATGTCAAAAAAAAAAAAAAAAAAAAATTAATGCTTCTGTGAAAAAATGTATATATTCAAAATGACTTTTATACACACACATAAAATATATAATAAATAATATATATGTAAAGTTCGAGTATTCTATTTCACATGTATTTTATTGTCTTTTTTCATTTTTTTAAATTTTTTCACTAATTGCACGATAAAATTTCGATTTCAAGCATTTATCTTGGATGTTTACATATATATATATATATATATATATATATATATATATATATATATATATATATATATATACATGTATACTTATGTTGCTGCAAAATCCCATGGAAAAGTATTATAAATATTGATACGTAGAAATATAATAATATAATAATAAATATGTAAGCAGTTGCGTGTGAACATTCTTATCTGTACATTGACCGTTCACAAAAAAGCAAAAAATAGTTTAATTGAAGATGTTATTAAAGTTTCTCACAACAATTGTAAGAAAAACGACTTTAACGAAATCGACTTTATTTATAAATAAGAGACATTTCATTGCTATTTTTTATATTTTATCATAATATAATTGAAAAATGTATATACAGGCATATCTCTCGCAATTATGTCGTCTCTAGCTTCGAAGAGGTGCCGTAATTTGAAACACTGTGTTGTCCAAAAATGGAAAAATGATCGAGTCATGATTGAAGTAAATAAAATCCTAATGATATAAAGAAAAGATGTATTAAATGAATATATTAAATAAACTCGATAATCACGACGCTAAAAAAAATCGTGAACTCCGAAGCAAATGACATAACTAAAATTTGTTCTTTACTCCATAAGATTTGACTATCTTTTGCAGTTATAATTTATTTAATTATAACGGTGTGTGATTCTTGCAACGCAGTTGTAGAGTTATCACCGTTTGCTGTTTGTATTTTCTTTTTCTTGAAAAACATGATAAAAAGTAATTTTTCATTAAAAAACCGAAAATAATAAAGCTGTGTCGCAAGAATCGTATACAACTATTTCTCCCTGACGTCATATAGCCGAGTCGTAAGTGCGAAGTATGCCTGTAATATGTTTAATGTAGATACATATATGGTATATAAAGAATATAAATAATCCACCCACGTGAAGTCAGCGGGCAAATATGATACTGCATATCTTCGTACTAGAGATTAGTATATAGTTGATGCAAAGTGTGAATTAGTAGTGTGAGCACACACAACTCAGGGATTCTATTTCGACGTCAGTTTTTTTCAATGCTTTTGTTGCAATCAATAACTTTTCCTTGTTAGTGTGAGCAAGATGAATCCGCGTGGCAATTGTCTAACGCGCTTTTCTCGAGCAAACCTGTCATGAATTTTTTGAATTTCAATTCTTGCGCGTCGTTCGACGCCTTTCTCTCAACTATAAGTTTGCGCTTTTTAGTTTGCAACTCGTTTGCTTGGTGAAGCGTTTCGGTGTCAGGATTAATGATGTCTATGTGTTTTCGCTTTATAGTTTCTAATGTATCAGGATGAGTTTCTTCTCGAGCTCGACTCAACTCAGTAGTTAAATCAAACATCTTCTGTTCCCACTCCTCAAGATGTTTCCGCATCTCGGCCAACTGCGCCTCCTGATCCTGTATCTTCTTCCTATGCAAATTCAATCTCAAACTTTGCTTGCGAATGAGACCAGTTTGCTTTTGTATTGTCAGTCTCATTCTGTTTATTTGCCATTTCATACGCACAACACTCGTCTTATTCTTTTTTGTCCTTATGTTAATCTTCTTAAAAGTCTTGTTGAGTTTCTCCGTGCAAGACAAACTGTGATTGTTGCAGAGTGGCAGTACAGAATTATTTATGTTTCTGTTGTGAGAGATCATAACGCCACCAGGTAGATCATATGGATTCACAGTGCCAACCATGGATGTGCAAATATTGTGCTTTAAATCTGGAAGAATTTTCTCATCAAAATGCTCCATAGCCATGCTGCTTATATCTCTTAGTTCTTGAAGAATTTCATGTGCTCGTGGAGGTGTCTTTGTCTCTTGAATTAATCGAAGAACACGAAAGATTTCATCAATTACCTAATGTATAGACACAATATCTATGAATATAATATCATAATTGTATTTATAATGCAATGATAACTACTCTGTGCACATACACATATACACACACCAATTACATATACACATAATTTCTAAAACAAAACAAAAAAAACCATCAGTTTTTCAACATAAGTATTGCTTTTTATCACAAATAGTCACATGCACACACATTTATACAGCATAATTAACAAAATATTATAGTTTATACATAAAAAATATATGTACAAACCTTTCCTGGAATAAAACAACAAACATTCAAATCTACATATTTAATAAATGTCATCGACAACATAGAAATTCTTGTTTCGATTGCTGTCAATATATCACAGTGACGAGCAAGCGGATGACTTCTTCGTTCTGATTCCCTCCTTGGCAATTTGCTTTTGACAGAACGAAGACATTGCGCATGATACTTTTCCATGAGATTAAAGCCGCGATTCAATAGTTTCTTGCAGATTCGATCGAATTGTCGACAGACCTGTGTAAAAAAAAAAAAAAAAAGAGAACAACTCAGTAATTCATATTATTAGCTCAATACAAAGAGAAAAAAGAACACCAATCAATTGTCTCACAATTCTATTTTTGGAAATCTCATCAAAAGAGAGATAAGAAAGAATGATTTCCATACAGTCATCCGGAAGATTTATGAAGTCTAGTTGCATGTCATCACTGGATTGTTGTGTACCAGACAATTTTTGTTTTATTTGCTCTTTATTATCATCCATATTGATCTGCTCTTATTCTATGTGTACACATAAGTTGTTCACTTTTGCAATGTGCGTTTTTTGTGCAAGTGACATAAAACTTTAGCTATACTTGAAGTTCTATCATCTGTATAGAACCTAATAATAATTACATAACAATTACAATACAGTGATATTCTAGAATAGCAGACATTTTTAAAAGGATCTGACACAATCAAAAGACAAAATAATAACAAAAGTAAAAAAATTAAATAAATACAGACATTGAAGATGGAGAGTTATTCAACATATGTAGAAAAATCTTTTATTTATAATAATGGAGTACACATAAACATATGCATGTCTGTGTCTAAATGTATTTATAAAAAAAAAAAAAAAAAAAAAACAATCTATATGATATAAACATATGCATATACTTATATTAATAAAAATTATACGAACGTTAAACCAGTTTTAAGTAAACGAACTCCACTTTGAATCTCAACGCAATTATGCGTCGCATTTGTGACGCAAAAGGATCCTTCTAGAAAACAGTGTCGCTCTGCCTCGTGAGACGAGTTACGAAGCAGCAAAAGTATTGTCTTCTAAGGTTAGGAAATTTGTCATATGCATCAGACCGCAGCACTTTTGTGAGTGGATATTGCACTGTTAATATATTATTTCCCGACTAGAATTGTTTCACGTAAAGATAATAAAATTCTTTTAACTGCGCAGTATACGTTTAACTAATCGAGCGTGCACATGGTCAGAGAGTTCGTACGGAATTGTGCAAGATTTTGTTCATTTGTGTCTCGATATCTCACCGACGGTACTTCATCCACAACAATCAAATGTCAATGTATGTTACAAAACGAATGAGAAATTGTGTCGGAACAGATGTTTTTTCAAAATTTGTTCGCAACACGCGAGACGACGTAACTTGAGTAGCTTACAACATGTTTTCACAATTACAAGTAACAAGTTTTAGTTCTTTCTTCGTTTTCTAAAGATGTTGGCACTTGTGTGAAGTAAGCGACGGAAAGATCCGCGCGCGTTCAGCAAAATCGCGTCGCGTTGTTGTTTGCTTGCAGAAAATCCATCCAGTTCACGCGTGACATAATTTTATAGATTTTCAAAATACGTACACACACTTAAATATTGTGCAAGCGCGCACCAAAGTACGTAGCAAGTGGCACGCGAGACGAGTTATAGCCAATCGACGTCTCGCTTTTACGGAATGTATTTCAAAAGCAATGTTGATTGGTCCGCGTTGACGCGGACCGAATAAAATTTAACCAATCAGAACAAAAAAAACCTACACAATATCGATCTTATGTAGTGAACTTTATTCTGGTCGATTCGATTGGTCAAATTTCAGTTCCGTTCCTGTGCGTGGGATCTTATTGAGAGCTTGATCGAAAATTATGCATATAGAGCAACAAGAGAGATGATGCTTCCAAAACATTCGTAGCGCGACTTTGAGCTCTGTAGAATGACAGATGAAACATGGCGATGCAAGTTGCGAATTATTTTTGACCGTCGTTTGTGAGTAGTTCGAGTCCGTGTTTGCACGTGGAAAAACCTTCTTCTGTGTTAATCGGTGATACAAAAAGTTGTACTCGGAACGTGAAGCAAAGAGCATTCGATTGTTGCAACAATGAATTATAATCACTCGAGCGCACGCCGAGGTGAGTAACCTATGAGTGACAGATTGGCATATATGTAACTTTTTACTTATATATATATATATATATTCGCGCGAAGCTTTTTATACAGTATTTTTTTTCAGTAAAATAAATGTTTACATATTGATCTGATGCATAGATATAAGATGGAAATTGTTTTAATCTACAGGAAAGCCAAAGAGGATATTGGATCCCACAGCTGGTTTGTCAGGACCATCTTCTCCAATGCCTCAGTCTCCGTACATGTATAACCAACAAGTAAACTTTAAAAAACACATATTTATTAATTACTTATTACAGAAGTGCTTCCTACATAAAACACAGACTGAATTTCTTGCTTTACATTAGATGTATTACTGCAGAACAAAATGAACATTTGTCTGAACATTTTAGATGCCAATGAATAATGGCGCAATGCCGGAATATGGTTTTAATGTTTCTGGACAACCACAATCTTATGGATTTAATCCACAATTGTCAAATTATCCATCCGCTGATAGTCAAGGAGGAGAATTTGCAAGTCCACAGTTTGCATCATTGGCCCAGCCAGTTGTCACAGACATGGCAATGCAATATGGAAATGTGTTAGTTGGCACTGGAAAACAGCACCTGGAGAAATATGTCCCAATTACAGCATTGAAATATTACTTTGCTGTTAACACAGATTATGTCTTCACAAAATTATTGCTGTTGTTCTTCCCCTTTACACATAAGGTATGTATACTTTTTGTTTTTGAAAACCCATGAAGTAGAAAATGAGTCAATTCCATATTCAAATTATTTCGTTCGTAAAAGCGTATCTTCTACTTTGTGTGAACATTTGTATTGAATAAGTGAATATATCTTTTGTAGGACTGGTCTGTCAAGTATGAACAGGATGTACCATTGCAACCACGATTTGAGAAAAACGCTCCGGATATGTATATACCTACAATGGCGTTTTTCACATACGTTGCCGTGGCGGGATTAGTTTTAGGCATACAAGATCGATTTACTCACGAGCAACTCGGTATTCTGTCTAGTTCTGCCTTGGCCTGGGGTGTAATTGAGTTGCTTGTTCATACAATTAGTTTGTACATTATGAATCTTGAAACGAGTCTGACAACACTAGATCTATTGGCATATTCTGGTTATAAATACGTTGGTATTAACATAGCGCTGTTACTGTCATTAGTATTTCGGAAATTTGGTTATTACGTAACGCTTTTGTACTTTAGCACTTCTCTAGCTGTTTTTCTGATGCGATCGTTAAAGTTAAGAGTCATTCCCCAAGGCCATAACTCGTACACAGCCATTGGCAATAAGAGGCGGCTTTACTTTATACTCTTCTTAGCCGGTATACAACCTGTTCTCATGTGGTGGCTGTCGTATCATTTAATCTAAATAACTTTGTGACTTGGTTACACAAAATTAATGACAGTGAAAAAAAAAGAAGAAGTGTGTATATTTATTATTTGGTTACACTAATATCATCTGTACAATTTTTGTAATAAAGTCCAGTGAGAGAAAGAATATAAATGGAAATCTTATACAAATGTATAGTATTATTGAGTGACGTCACTTGTAATGAGAGGAGAAGAGTTTGAGAGAGAGACTTATCATAATAGAGACAAATCAATGCCGTTTCAAGGACCAAAGAATACACAAAAACTTGAAGAAAAAAAAGAATCATAGTATTCACGGAAGCTATATTCAGAAGAATGCTGGCCTATAATTGATTAATCCACTTTTTATGCTATATCTTTCATGCTCAATTTCTTCATCTCTAAATAAAGGATCGTCTACAATAAAGGTAGTAGGTTTGGTGCAAGCAGAGAGAAACCTGAGAACGGCCATTCTATTATAATTTTTTACGACGGTTTCAGCCGTTGGTTTTAGCCGTATTTCCACAAAAGTGGAACTCAAAGGCCGTTCTACATTAAACGCAAGTCGCAGATCTCGTGGAATTGACCAATTGCAGAGTCAAATCAGCCAATCGACCAACGTGATTGATC